AGCAAATGGCCTTGTGGAGTCTGTACTCCAGTAAACGATTAGTCGAAAACTAAATTAGATGAAAATTACTTCAAAAATAAATTAATCACTATTAATTTGGATGAATCACGATTAATCACGATTAATCGTTTCAGCCCTAGTCCAGTCAGCTCCATCATGGTTTGTACTTTGTTTTTCAGTTTATTTCAATAATTGATTCATCACGATCAATCATTTCAGAACTAATATGGAGCTACATCTTTGCAAAAAATTTGTTTCTTTTTTTTCTTCATTTATTTCTTTTTAAAATATAAAAAACTTCAGGCTGAACATCTTTAAAATGAATAAAAACATGGAAATATGCAAAAATGTAACTTTTTTTTTTACGGTTTAATGTTAAAGTCAAAATTCTTTCATGCTCTAATTATTCTAAAAACACAAAGTGGCAGCAGGGAGGGACATTGATTCTCCGTCCACATGAACCACAAGAGCATCAGCTTCAGTGAATTACATAATATAACAAGGAGCTAAATCAAATAGCCGCAAGTATCAAATGAGATTTATAGTTCTGGTCCTTCTCAGACGCAAAAAGATGCTGATGTAATTGATTTCTCTGAATTGGGGAGGAAGAGGAGCAGCTGAGGAGGCGGTGGGGGGAGGGGCAGGTTTCTGGTTTCACAGGTCAGAGAGCGACGCAGGGTCAAAGCTGCTGCAGCAAGGTCACGGGGGAAGATAAACGGATCGATGCGCTGCTTCGAGATGTTAACAGATTCGGTTCATTTTCTTACAGCCTCCAAGCAGGTCTGGATGCACAAAGAGCAGCTGCTCCAATTTATTCTTAAAACAAGAAATCCTTCGCATTAACTCACCATTAATGCAGAAGCATTGAAAAATGTAGGCAAATGTTTGAATTAAAGCTGCAGCTACCGATTATTTTAATAGTCGATTATTCTGACGATCGAATAATCAGATAAAAATTGGCACATTCTTCAGATTTTTCATTTCATAACTTCAGCATCTTATGTAATATTAGAAATACATTAAAAGATGGAAATAAACAAATCATTAAATTCCCTTTTAAGTGAAATTATAAACATTTTATAATCTAAACCAGAAGAAGCTAAAACTGCTTTTTGAGGAGTTTTGGCTAAAACATATTTACAGACAAAGTGCTTGTGTAGCTTTAGGTTAAATACTCCTATTTAAGAACATTTTTGTTTTTTTTCAGCACATGATGTATTTTGAGTCTGAATACTGCAGTTAATAGTTAATTGATTACTGAATAACGATTATTTGATTAATTGTGACTAATCAATTAATCGCTTCAGCCATAGTTTAAGTTAATTCATACAGGTTAGAGTAAGAAACTTATGTTTACATTTGTGATGGTAGGACTGAAAAGGTTTCTTCTAGCATCTAATGGTTGTAGTAGTTGGCACATCATGATAAGTGACCTTTGACCTTTTCTTTGTCCATCATCCCTTAGCATTGTCCTTGTTGGTAAAAACATAATAGATATTCCTGTGATTATTAAAAATACTCTAAAAGAAAAAAATTATATGGAAGGTGAACTATCCAGACGCCACACTAAGCAGCCAATCCTGGAGTTCCATCCATTTTCCTTGGTGCTGATTGGCTGAAGCTCCAAGAGCAGAGATATTAAAAACAGTAGATATTAGCTAGTATCACTAACATGGTTCCACCTGTGTGTATTAATGCATATTAAGGTTTAAGTGTTTTTAGAAACAGTCTCAAAGTAAATACTGAGAGTCATAGGTGATTTTAGGCAGGGATTTTCCTCTGTATTCTGGCCCCTATGCTGAAGAAATGATTCTAAATCAGTTTGTTTTTTAATGAAATAGGAAATAAGCTGCAATAATCAAACTGCACTTTGAACTGTAAGTTAATTGAGAGCGTATTTTTCAAAGTTGTTGAAATTGTGGCATCAATAGTTCTGAATAGGAATCATTAATGTTGTGATCAGTCGATTAATGATTTATCAAAATAAAATTAGTTCCATTAGATAAGCTAATAATAATAAAGGCCGATTAGACCTTCTTCTAGAGTTGTAGTTTGGCCTCCGTCCAGCAGGGGGCTCCGCTTGTCATTCTGGAGGGAACAAATAAACAAAGATCGCGGAGCCAAACCAGAACGGGAAAGAAAAACGGTCCAAACAAAGTCCGGTTTGGGATGAAAAATTCACTTTATCTGTTTAGAAATATAAACTTCCAACAAACTCCTTAAGTTATAAAGTTAATATCTGAACTGAATGACGGAGCAGCTTCAGCTTCTGAAACAAAAACTGCAGATTTGATACGAAGACGAGGAAAGAAAATGGTGTCCAGAGAACCACAATACATATGTCCATTCCTGGTTTTTAAAAAACCTTTTTCTTAGTATTTCTTTGAAAATAATGACCCAAACTGTAATGACTTTATCTGTAATAAAATATTCAAACAGCATCCAGGAGCATCCAGATCTTCTGAAGCACAAACTCGCATTTAAAGGCTCTTTGATAATTACATCAGCAGGAAACACCCAAATAATCACCAACCTGCAGATCTTATTATCTAAATGCACAAATAACGAGTTAAACTAAAAGTCAAAGAGAAACACGGGCTGTAATGAATCCGTTGTGTCGTGTGCGTACTCATCTAACAGGCTGTAGTTTTATTTTATATGTCTAAAGAAGACAAACAAACGGTGTTTACCCAGAGACAGGAGCAGCTGCTGCTCACCTGCCGCCGCTGCTTTGTGGCAGCAGGCGGCCAGGTGATGAGCGCCGCTCTTTGGCCGGGGTCAACATGTCAGCGACCATTAATTACAGCCTGCAGCCTTCAGCAGCAAAAACAGGAAAACTGCTGCGTCAGCATGAGGAACAGGGCCGGTCCAAGCCTTTCTGGGGCCCTGAGCAGAGCTTTGTTTTAGCCCCCCCCTTTATTCCTGTGCTGCTTTATGTTTATCACTCGCATCATTTTGTGATTAACATACATCATCCAGTGTTATTATGGCTGTTGGTTTTAATCTTGGTTTTAATCTTAGAAAAAAAGCAAATCAAAAAATATTTAGACTTTGCAAAAAACACAAAATCTTACCAAGTGATTTTGGTCAAGTTTCTAGTACAAATATCTTACTGCAGTTGAAATAAGACAAACAAGTAACTTTTCAGCAAGACTTGGGCTCTTGGTTTAAGTCAATGATTCTCTAATGTTGATCAAATATTTCTAGTCCCACTGGCCGATTATTGTACTAATAATAAGACATTTTTCCCATTTTATAAAATAAATAATCAGCCAACGGAACAAGTAGTTTTTCATCAATATTCTATATCTTCCTGAAAAGTTACTTATGAGTCAGTTTTGTCTTATTTCAAGTGTGCTAAGATATTTGCACTGCAAACTAAACTCAAAAATACTTGGTAACGTTTGAATTAAAGCTGCAGCTTTAATTAGCTGCAGCTATTGATCAGAAAAAAACTGATCAGGTTTTGCAGTGTATTAAAGTGCGTCATATTGTTTAAACTACTTAAAGTAAAATCAGCTGATAAACACTGAATTTATAGTAAACAAGTTGACAAGTTTGATATTATATTTCCTCAGAAGAGGCAGCAGAAATCAAAGACATTAAACATTATTTGTGTAAGAAAAAAACAATATGGAATTTTTAATCACAATAGTTTGTATTATCTAAAGTTATTTAAATATATGTATTTAAATCATGTGGCTTGGTGCTTTTGGAGCCCCCTAGTGGTGCGGGGGTCCTAAGCAGCCGCTGTGCGTTGGCCCTGCCCTGCCCTGGGGGATTTGCTGACATGAAATAGACTATTTTACAATCGTTACCGCGGTTTTTATGACCACTTACAGCCTCTAACAGTTTTATCCTTGATTAAAGCGGTGATAGAAACCTCCGGAGTTGCTTTTAGTTACATTTTAAAACCAGGAGTTGCACAGATCGGCCTATATTTACTCGAGGTTCACGTTCTGCATGCTTGCAGAGAAAAGCAGGTTTATATTTAGCCTGCATGAGCGGACAGTGTTGGTACAGTTGGGCTCCGGGATTGTGAATGGGATTATGATATTATGATGTTTATTCGACTCCTCAGTCATGCCACACATAACAACCAGCGCACGATGCCAGGTTTCTGCTTTGCGCTTCATATTCAGGTTGCTTTGTGGAAAAAAGAAAAGTGCATTCGGGTTTCTCAGATGCACTTCTTTCCTATCTGCCTATTTAATTGTGGAACGTCTGGGATAAAATAAAGAGTCACAAACTGTCCTGGTTCAGCTTTGACTCCAAATCAGCTGAAAAAAACCTGAAAATGTAATAACTCTTCAAGTTTTTCCATAAAATGCATAATTTTTTATCTACATATGACTACAAATGGATCAACCAAGTGCATTCAGAAAAAAAATTAGATGCATAAACTATTATTTAACTTCCTGTTTAATTAGATCACTGCAAATTGAGTTTTTATTTTAATTAAATATGTTGTGTAGTCTATTTACTTATTTTACAATGAATTGCCTGATTTAATACAAACGTCTCACTGTTGCACATTATTTGTCTTACAATAAAATAGCATCAATGTGGAAGAACACAGAGAAATAGTTTTTCTTTTTGTAATCTATTAATTTAATCCAGATTATTCTCCATAATTCTGTGAAAACCTTGAAGATCATCACCACAAAAACAGACAGAAAAGCTTCAGCTGAGTTTTCTCAAAGTCCTCAGCTAAAACAGAAAATCATGATCAATCGAGATTGGCAGCTTTGACTTTGAAGCTGATCAGAAATAGCTATTGATCAGAAAAAAACTGATCAGTTCATTTTAACATTTATTATTCTGTTGAATATTCAGGCTGCATAATTAATCATAAAGTCTGATTTCATAGTTTTTGCTCATTTTCAAGCAGCTTCTCCTACATTTCATATCAGAATTGATCATTTCATATCAGAATTGATCATCTTTTTCTCCGTCATCCTGCAGTTTGAACATTAAACTGGGATTAAACTCCGTTTTACCTCCAAACAGCAGCAGCTGCAGCAGCGCAGCGACGTTTCCCGGAGAGAAACCACTTGGCTCCATATTCACAAACCATAGGTGAAAGTTTCCCGATGAAGACACGAATCCCGAAACTTTCCTTCAACCGAGAAGAAGAAGAAAATGAAAGCAGCGCCGATCCGATCCGTCCTGCGTGAAATCCTGGCGTCCCGCAGACCCCGCAGACTGGCTGCTGCTGCCTGGATGGGGAGGAAGAGGAGGATGAGGAAGAGGAGGGTGGCTGCTTCACTGCCCCGCTGCTTCCGCTGCAGGTCGCGCAGCATCCACCGGAAATTTAAGAGCAATAATTAACCGGCAGGTTAGTTATGTCATTAACTCTCCGCAGGGAGGAAAGTGTTGATGATCATCTGGATGAGTTTCAGGTTTTCTCTCCTGTTTCTGTTTATTTAGCGCAATATGTGCAGATCTGCGCACTGGACAGGGGCGGTGCGAGGCTGAACGGGAGATTAGGGCACAAGCTCTAAACGGACCCCAATTTTCTTTATTTATTTGCAACAGTGAAGGAATTTGATTTAAATGTTTAATCTGGTTAATTGCAGGTTGTATAATTAATTAATTGTAATAAATTGCATTTTAATCAAAAATAGACAAAATAAGCAACATTTTAACTCAAAAACATGTTTTGCTTTTAAATAATTCAATAAACATATAGCTCAACATATGTTGAGCTATATGACCATCAAACCAGTTTGATGGTTATTCAACCATCAAACTGGTGCAAACTGCTGGCCCAGTTTGACTGCACTGCAAAAACAAAGTATTTTTGGTGTAGGATTTAGTGAAAATATCTTAGCACACTTACAATAACACAAAACTAACACGTAACATTTCAGGAAGATATGGGAGCTTCTTTATGCCAATAATGTGGATGGAAAAGCTAGAAGAGAAATAAACTAGAAATGGAACAAAACCTTTTAACTTATCTGAGGAAAATGTCATATTTCACATATAACAAGCATGTTTTCACCAATAATAATTATTTACTTAAAGTAAAACAAAACTAACTTACAAGTAACTTTTCATCAACATATAAGAACTTATTTTAAGTGTATTAAGAGGTTTGCCATAGAAAGCAGCTCAGAAATGGTTGGTAGTATTTATTTTGTTGCAGTGTGCCCCTGCAGCAGCCCTGTGGGACGCCGGTTTGGCCCTCACAGATGTGCCCAGGCTGCAGGTGGTGTTTACGGCGCGGCGGGATTCTTGTTGTTGTGCGGCTGGATGCTGCAGCCTGGGGCCGTCGACTCCGACCGTCAAACACAGTGAGGCTGCTGCAGAGGAGACGGAAAACATTACAAATATTCACTCTGCCCGTTTTTAAGGCTGAAAGCAGAATACTCTGAATGTAGCGACATTATGAATGAATTCTCGTAAATTCTTCACTTCCAGCCTTCTATGAGAGAACTTTATTTTCACATTTTTTCCAGCTTATAACCTTTTTTAATTTTATCAAATTATAACTATTATTCGATATACATTGCAGGGTTGTGTCTAACGGGGATGCGTTGTGCAAAATTTTGCACATTTTTGTACTTCAACTTGGGTCTCAACTGCTTCTAAAACAATCCAAGCGCTAAAAAAAGGACAGCAGCTGTTTTTGGGATGAACTTAATGATTTTGGTGGCTGGAAAATGAGCCGTTTGCAAAGCCTCCGTTATGTAACAACAAATATCAGCAGGGATATTTATCCGCCCGTTTCCACAACTTGGCTCCATATTCACGAACCATAGGTGAAAGTTTCCCGATGAAGACACGAATCCTGAAACTTTCCTTCAACCAAGAAGAAGAAGAAAATGAAAGCAGCGCCGATCCGATCCGTCCTGCGTGAAATCCTGGCGTCCCGCAGACTGGCTGCTGCTGCCTGGATGGGGAGGAAGAGGAGGATGAGGAGGATGAGGAAGCCATTACCCATTACCTAGCAACCAGAGCTGAGTTCCAGCACATTTGGTCAGCTGGTTTTACCTCTCTATGCGCTGTATAATGGCTGCTGGTTTTGTTGTTGAATTACCATCCAGAAACCACTTGGTGCGTTTTTGTTGGTAGTATCGGAAACTTCACTTCTTAGGATGAGATACAACATTTCATTGGATTTAATTGTATAATTGTTGGTGGGTCTATGTGTGTATGTATATATACATATATATGTATGTTTGTATGCATGTGTGGACAGTGTATGCGTAATTTTACAGATTGTAGAAATAATAACTGCAATAAGTTGTGTAAAGGGAACGTATAAATACGTTTTTGTTTTGTTCAAGCTAAATTCTTTTTTTCTGTTATGTAAATGTAATTATGTTGGACCTCAGTAAGAATATCTGTGGATTTGCTGCTGCTAATTTAGAGCTTAATAAATCAATGTTTATCTTGATCAAATAAAGATAAAAAAATATGACTACATGCAGTTAATGTGTTCATTTTATTGATACAAATCACACTTTTTGATGCGACTGGCGTCCAAAGAAAGCGGATCATGTTTTTCAGGAGCAGCATTTGTTTTACGGAGCCATGATTGTTGTGACACAAAAAGCTAAAAACTGTTTAGCTCTTTAGGAAACAGCTGAACAGTTTCCTAAAACGGAAGCAGTAATTCTTGATCAGTTCTCATTTATTGTCACATTTTACACAGAGCTATCATGTGACGCCACAGTTCAGTGAGCTTCGTAACCGGCAGCCATCTTGGCAGGCGGTTGCTATGACAATAAACCCAAGTCATTAGCTCAAAACTAGCAACTTATAAACAATACAACTGTTACAATAAACTGTTAAGTTTCTGAGTGCTCTGCTCTGCCCCATGTGATACTGCGATAAATACCCGTAATATTTACTGCTGAGCTAATTTTGCTAGTTAGCCAAGATGGCCGTGTCGCCTACGTGTTTCTACTCTTCCAGTCCGCCCTTTATAAATCTGTTGAAGCATTGCTAGCATCCGTCCATGCATTTCAGGCTCCTCCATCTTGCCTCCTTTCTCCATTATTCGTCTCATACGGGTCGATCAGAACAGCAGCCATTTTGTTGATATTTATTGATCATGAGAGTCAATATGCTTCCTTTTTGTTAGCTTTGAAGCCATTGTTCATCAAACGGTGCTGATCATTTCCAGTTCAGATTTGTGGGAATTTAAGTATAATAAAACTTAAATTCTATATCATCCACCAGTTAGACTTGTTTAATTTCCCTTTGGTATCAAAAAGGTATTTTTTAATTTTTCTTAATTATTTAGCTTTAATTAGACAGAGAGGATGTAAATCTAATCCTCTCTTGTGACGGTTTCTTGCTGCACCAAGGGAGACTTTGGGCATCTTAATATGACATTAGCAGCAGCAGGAGCTCATTGAAGATGAGATAAAGTTTCCATATCTGATAGATCGGAGCCATGTTGAGATGCAGGCGCCCTGCAGATCAATGGCAGCGTATTGGTGCGAACATGGCCGAGTGACCGCATGGTTTATCGACGTGTCTTTGTGTTCAAATTCAGCAGAAATCAGCTGAGACTTCTCCTGATGCTGCTGCTGTTGTTTTAAATCACCTTCAGTTCATGTTTCTCTTTAATGCCAAAGTTTATTATCACATGCAAATGTGCCAATAAACTGAGGTGAGTTTTCATTATTCCAGTTTTCATTTCTTAAGAATCAGCGTTTTGTTTCCATTACTGGCACAGCTGCTTGGAAAACCTATTATGGACTTGGGTCTTGTTCAAGAAAGCAGGACACACCTACTGGGACCAGAGAGCAACTTCTGCTTGGAAGTCCAACCGCTGGGCAGGTTGGACACGAGCCGCCGCTGTGATGCAGCCAAAAATGCACTGCAGTAATTTGAGTTATTTAGCCGTCAACAGGGAAAAAGGGTTTGTTTTTCAGAGCAATATTTATTTTACATCATTAATAAATGTCAAACTACAAATTTCACTAGCAAGCTAAAAACTATACAGCTGATTTTACTAACTAAATATTAAGTTGGCAAGCTAAAATTTTGTATTAGCTTACTAATGAAATATTTAGTTCACAGCTAAATGTTTAAGTAATAAGCTAAATGTTTGGCTAGAAAACTAAATACATTTAATTTACAAACAAATCAGCTAGCAAGATAAATAGCGTACAAAGTTAATATCTTGCTAACTAGTTTAAAACTAAATGTTTACATTGCAAGGTAAACATTTATTTTGCTAACTAAATATATAGCTTGCAGCTAGTTAGAAGTTTCACCTTGCTGACTAAATATTTAGATTCAAACTAAGTACTTCACTAGAAAGCTAAATATTTCAGTTGAAACAACATTTAGTCAGCAAGATGTAAACCTCCATTTAGTTCATGGAGATAATAAACTAAATACTTCGGAAGCTAAACGTGTCGATTGCTAGCAACATTGTATGCTAAAAATGATCTTGCTAACGATAGTTCGAAGCTAAATATTTAGCTTTGAGCTTTAACTAGATATTTTCTTAATTGCTAAACATTTTTGTTTTTACATTGTGCTAAATATGTTTTACCCCAAATTTCCGCCGTGTAGCTTTACAGACGACATGTTGTTGTAGCTTCTGGGATTAGCGGTTTGGTTCTGCTTCCAATTAATTAACCAGGCGGACATGAACACCTGAGACACACCTCAAATAAATCACTTCATCCTGGAATCCAGACAAACGAAGCCGTGATTTAATTAGCAGCTTCAGGTTGTGAAAACCATGTAATTGTCCGACATTTTAAAGCTTCGCGGTGATGAAACTAATCAGTGTAATTTCCTAAACCTGCTAACAGACGGAGTGCAGAGGCGTCAGTGCCATTAGCAACACTCCTCTCCTCAGCTAGAGCTGCATCTTGACCCCTATTAAGATACTGCCAGATGCCTGGCCAGTAACAGGAGGCATGTCCATGGCAACCGGCTGTAATGGCCGGCCTGCAGTGTGGCGGAATCACTTGGCCTAATTTGTTAAGTACCACATCAGAGCATCTGATCTAATCAGTCTTGTTTTATGCGCAAACCGAGTGGAGCCGACATGTTGTTTAGAGACCGACCGGAGGTTTAATGATGATAATAAATGAACATTTCATAACCTTCTCCAGACCCCGGCAGGCTGGCGTTCACTCAACCTTCAGGGACTTTCATTCTAGCCAATGCAAAAATAAACAACTTTTGTTGCAAGTGCGTGACGTCACAGTGACAAAGCTAGAAAAATGATGCAACTTTTCATTTCTGAGGAAATGACCATCAGGAGAAATAAATCTGTTTTTTCTGTGGAAAAAAACAAACTTCACAGGTTGGTGTGTAGAGTTTGGTTTGTAAAGTTACACAGAAAAATAATCAACAGCAAATATTTTAGTTTGTTAGAGAAAGAAACATGTTAAATTTTCAAAGAATTAATTTCAACCCATTTTTTCTACATTTATAAACGTCACAAGTCTAAATTAAATATTTAACTTGAATGTTTAGTACTTAGTTTATGAACTAAATATTTAAATCGAAAACTAAATATTTAGTCTGGAATCTAAATATTTAGTTTTTTGTAAAATTTAGCTGTTGAATTAAATATTTAGCTTTCAAACTAAATATTTAATTGACAAGCAAAAATATTTAGTTTGTTATTCTGACATTTATAAATTTAGGAATGATGTTTTGAAATTATGACTTTGAAAAAATTAACTCGTTTTTCTCCGACAGGCTAATAAAAAACATTTTGACAGTTAATTTTTTACAGTGTAAATTTACAAACCGTTTCAGCCACATGTTTTATGATGTTAATTTATTTTTACACAGAGAATAAACAACATTTCATTAACATTTTAAAATGAGATTCATGACATCAGTTACATAGTCATTCAAAAAATTAGAATATCATTGAAATATTCCATTTATTTGACAAACTATCACTATGTGAAGCACATTTGTGCAATTTTATGGTTAATGCAAAAGCAGGTTCCATTAATTGTTGCACACACAACAGAGGCTCCGTTTCCATTACAAATGGTCGCAAAACTTTGTAGATGCTACACTAGTGTCGAAAAAACACAATTTCGGCATTTTCATTAAATAAGAAACAATTAAAATCACACATGAATCAGTTTGTTTATGGGATAAGTCATTAAAATCACACCGTGCCATCATCCACCACTTCCTGTTGGTCGTCTTCATCATTTCTGCCAGTAGTAACATCCTGTCATCGATCATGTCTATCTCAGTACATTTATTTCTGAATTGTTGTGATTCCATTAAGTAAATTTACTTCTGTAAATTTTGTGCTAATTATATAAACCTTCAACTGTTTTTTTATGGAAATCTGGAAACAAGTGGGGGAAGAAAACCAAACATTTCGACTTTGATAGTAAAGAGTGAAACAAACTATTAGCTAAATTTTCATCCTTTGATTTTTCCAAACTTCAAACATTTCTGCTGTCAAAACATTCAGTCCAAATTTAACATAATCACTTAAACTCAAGACGTTTCCAAACTACAGTCTGACGCGTTGATGCTGTCTGCGGTTGCAATGGAAACCAGAGACATCAAGACGCCACCCAAAACAAGAACAAAAAAAGAAAGATTATTTAACGTCTCTTAAGGCTTGTAGGTTGGAGTTTCTGCAGGGTTTGTTTGGGAATGTTATATTTTGAGGAAGAACTTCTTCCTGTAGAGGAGGAAGGCGATGAGAACCCAAAGCCCGGTTCCCCACAGGTTTTGCAGCAGCAACTCCCAGTGGCTGTGCTGGAAACGCATCTCCCAGCTGAAGGGGAAGTAGAAGCCGAGCAGCGAGTGGCCAACGTACACAAAGATGGAGTTGGTCCCTGTTCATATCCAACAGAAGCATTTTCAGAACCAAGGTTCTGCTGAACAAGGCGTTTATTATCAGATTATTAGCTGAATTAATTACCATCATTTCTCTCTTGGATGAAAAATGTAAATTTCTGAGAAACTGAATTTTGGTTTTTCACAAGCTGTTAGCTGCAGTTGCTAAAATTAATACCTAAATATGAAACTATATTAAATTTATATATTTGAATTTCAAAGTTTTTAAACTGAATCCCAAAATAAATACATTTCTTGATGATATTTAAGTTAATATAGAGGCACCTGCGTCTATAAATGGATAAAATTAAATATTTGATATAATAATGATAAAAAGGGAGAAAAAAATCTAAATTGCTAAAGAAAAATGGAAAAACAATAAAGGAAAAGGCGAGGAAAGAATAAAACAATATGGAACAAAAGGAAAAAGGGTGGATGAAATATTTGAAAGAAAAGAAGAAAAAATGAAAAGTGATTAAAAAAGTAGAAAAAGTAAAAAAAGAAAACACAAAAATATAGAAAAGAACATTTTTTACAACTTTATAAAATCCTTTATTTATAAACATTTTTTTAAAAGATTAGACACAAAAATATTTAAATTATTCAAATAAAATCAGCAGTTGTTGCTGATTAGTGCGTAGTACCTGGGTAAAGGAAGGGCTGCCCTCGCCACCAGCCTTTCACATCAACGATGAAGAACATGGCTCCCAGCAGCAGGAAGGACAAACATCCCATGGCCGTGACGTAGGACAGCGACCTGCAGAGACAGGAGCTGCTGGGCGGGAACCGGACCCAACGGGTCCTCGGATCGGCCCGAAGCTTCGGCCGGCAGGAACCAGTGGACCTGCGACAGCCTGCCATGTTTCTGTCTGTCTCTAAGTGCAAGAATGTTTGATGAAATACCCTCTACAGTAAAACGGCTGTCCGATCGAGCCTCTCTGCAGCGAGCCGTCTTATTTATTTATCTTTCATCCCGGCTGAAGTTGAGCCAAGAAGGATTCTTAGCCAGGAGTTAATTACCTCTAGACATCCAGGCAGAGACTCAACAGCTCAATAAGCCGCCCCTGATGAACTGCCTATAAAAGCCAGGCAGGTGCAGTAATAGCAAGGGATGAGCAGCGTCCCCTGAGGAAGATCACCAGAAATCTGCTTACACATCACAGATGTAATGGCGTTCTTCCTGCAGCAAAACATTAAAATGATCCAAAGCCGGGGCGCGGGGTCCGGGGCCGTGCCGGGGGCCGGGCGCGGGGTGAGGCCGGGACTCGGGGTCCGGGGCCGGGGGCCGGGGCGCGGGGCGGGGGGCCAAGTATTTTTGGTCCAGTTTCCAGTGCAAATATCTTGGTACGCTTAAAATACAACAAAACTGACTTACAAGTAACGGTTCAGGAAGTTTGTTTTGCGTTAATAATTCCTTAATGTTATTAAAAATGTTCCACCGGCAGATTATTAAACTTATAACAAAACTTTATTCCCACAATAATCTGCCGGTGGAACTAGAACATTTTCTTCAACATAAAGGAATTATTGCCTTAAAACAAACTCCCATTTCTTCCTTGAATGATATTTGCAAGTTAGTTTCGTCTTATTTAAAATTTTGTGCTAAAAACTCGACCAAAGCTACTTGGTAAGACTTTGTGTTTTTGCAGTGTAATGGCTGATTCTCTCTGTATTTCAGTTTTATTCTCGTAAAACTATTCCCATATTTTAACTTCATTCTCAGAATAACATTTATTCTCAGAATAATTTCACTTTTTTAACTCGGCCCTAATATTTTCTGAAATCAGCTGAAAACAGATCAAATTAAAATCCTAAAATCTGAGAATGTTTTCTGTGAACTAAACATCGAACGGTTTGCACTGCGCATTACTGCGCCATAATCTGCACATATTATATGTCACCTGCATATTATGCTGGATTATTCCATCACTAACGAGATGAAATAATCCAGTCAGGACTCCAGCTCAACCTCTCCTTCCACTTCACACCCCCGTCGTCCAGGCTGGTTATTTACAGTCGTAGCTGCCGCTGGAGGTAAGTAAACTCGTGTTTTATCAGCCGTGATTTGTGCCCATCCTCCCTTTTTCTTTGTGAGGAAAGTGGCTGAATTTAGCGGGTCAGGAAGCACTTACCAAAGGTTTTTATTGACAGGTATAAATCCTCCGTCTCGTGTGCACTTAGAAAGGATGGCTGCGGAGATTCCCTGAGGGTGGAAACGAAACAGATTTCAAATCGATCAGGGCGATAAAGCAACATGTGTTGAGAACGCGCGGCGGGCTGCGGAAACCGCGTCCGGCGAATTAAACGACTATCAGCGAGCGCCAGTTTGATCCGACACACAAATCCTAGCAAACCAAACGACCGTCAGTCCAAAGCAAGAAGCAGGCCAGACTCAAATATCTCCAAATGCATGAAATGGTTAGAGATGGAATAAAGAAGAAAATTTAAAAATACTGTAGTACCTAAAATATCAACCAACTTTTATTTAGCCAAACTTTACACATTTTAACACAAAGCATGCTTTAAACTGGCCAAACTCAAGGCCCGGGGGCCAAATCTGGCCCGCCGTGGCTTTTTCTGAGGCCCTCTAGACTCAATAAGTTCCTCCAGTTTTTCACAAATATACAAAATTCACACAAAATCAACACATCCAGCTCCGTTTTGTCGCTTGTTGTATGCAAGATGACTCGAGAACAAATCTTCCAGGATGATTGAAAGAATCAAATCTTTCGAAAAACTTTATTCCCACACAGTAAGAGAAATAATCTGCCAGTGGAACTGGTACATTTTCTCCAACATAAAGGAATTATTGGCTTAAAACAATAAGTTTTAAGTCAGCAGAGCCACTAATTAACTCATTACTTTCTATTTGAAACCAGGTAAACTGTCGACTCTATTTTAACAATAAATAAACTCCACAAAGCGTTTTCTGTAGTTTTCTCTGTTCTGTAGGAACTGCAGGATTGTTAAACACGCCTCTTCAGCCAAAGTGCTATTTTTTAACCAGAAATCTTTCTGATGATAACTGTTCAACGCGCTTTCAGCTGCTGATCACAAACGGCCCCCGGGCCTCATGTTGGAAACCCCTGCAATAGAAAATTTAAAAAGGTTTCGACTCTGAGGGGCTGAATGTAAATATACTGAGCCTGTTATTACAGAATTACTTTTTCCTTCCAATTTGTTGCATAAACAACTTTAAATCTGAGGCCTAATGTGTGAAACTGGGTGGTGAACCTACAGCAGCGCCGCTTTGCTTCTGTTTCTCATCCCTGATCTATTTTCATTCCTGTTCCAACCAAAACCAATTAGTTTTAGCGATCGGCCCGCTCTTCTTATTGACCTCCCTGACGCGGTTCTGGTGGGCGGCGGCGGCCCAGAAGCCGTTTTCTCCAGATGTTTGTGTTCTGAAAGTTCCCAGACCGCGACCGCAGCGTCGCTCCTCCGACGCGTGGAGCGCCTGGCTGCGTCTCCGCCCGGCTGCGTCTCCGCCCGCAGGTTTTAGATTCTGCGGCAGAAAAGATCCAGTTTTCCTCACAGCAAACAACAGGCCCAGTTAATTAAAGTTCAACGATCAGGCCTCAGAAGTGAGATTGAAATTGAGCGATTGGCCCACATAGCGGCTCCGTGCCACATCCTGCAGCCTCGACCCAGCTCAGCTATTTCCACGCCATCGATTCTGTCATCCATACGCATGATGGATATCCAGCTAACCGGCATCCCTGCATCCAAAACGGTTCACGAGTCACATAGAAAAGTAAACAGACAAAGACAGGAAGTGATGATGATTTATTTTGTAATTTGTGTTTCCTCTGCATTTTAAGGCTTTCGGTTGTTTATTTTGCAGTTCAAGTCTTTTTAAAGGAGCAGTAACTTTTAGAAAAATACTTTTACTTGAGTGAATTTATTATGAAGTATTTCTACTCTTACTATGACGATTTTCTACACACTGAATGAAAAATAAACATGTTTTAACCAAAAATCCACCAGCATCTCCATCTCTGCGCTGCAGTTTTCACAACTAATTTTTCATCCATATTTTGAGTCTGTGCACTTATTCCAAGTGAGCTTTAATCATAAACAAGCCGTTCGCTGTCGTTTACCTCACACTCAGTGAACAAACAGCCTGCTGTTTATTATCTTCATTATGTGTTACTTTATCACTCTGTGCCTCTGGGAAAGTGGATCTAATTTATTTCATCTGCCTCCAGCAGCTCACTGAACAACAACAGTCAATAATATTCAAGGCAAGGAGACATAACGAAGGACATTTATCATTTAACAATTAAGGTTCATCTATCATCTATGTACACCTCAAAATGCTCAAAAACGATTATTCTAACGATTAATCGGATAATTATATTAAAACTTTTGCACATTTTTCATGTGTGACCTGTTTTTGAGTCTGTATACTCCAATTAATAGATAACTAAATTAGTTGACAATTATGCCAATAATCGATTAATCACAATTAATCCGATTAATCACATTAATCACAATTAATCCGATTAATCACATTAATCCGATTAATCACAATTAATCCGATTAATCACAATTAATCCGATTAATCGTTTCTGTCCTGGCCCAGAGGATCCAGACTGACTTCCCTCATAGGATGTACTCAGTTTTATCTCTCTATCCCAGTCAAGGAAATATTTTCTCATGACTGTAAATCAGCTAATCTGAGATTATCCCTGTTTTTCTGCTGCACGGCTTGATTTCAAAGGCCTGGCGATGACGGCAGCGCCTGCAGCTCCTTCTTCTCCGTCATCGCTGCAGGTCGGGGGAACCAGCGGCTCAGGAAGTCAGAGCGCACTTCTGCTGACCTCGTTTTAACAAACGATCCTCGTCTCTGGACATAAATCTTCAAGCCAGCGACAGTTTTGCACGCTCGTTAGCCTCCTGCTACAAAACAAACCGTCTCATGTATCGGTGGTCGTCTCCCTGAGGGACGCCCTTTCTGATGGCAGCTTGGTCCTTTTTCGCTCTGAGACCACCCAGAAACACCGTAACGCTTCAGAGGATATTTTATCATAAATTTAACCAGTGAAGCGTCCATTTCTTTTCCAGAACCTCCACATTTCGGGTCTGTTTCTGGTACTTTCACTACATCACTGCAGGAGGCTGTAAACAATACGCAGAGCTCTTCTAATCTAAAACCACATGTGAGGCGGAGGGCGTACCCCCCCGAGGCGGGGGATACTCATGTCTTCCCGAAAACACAGCCACACATGTGATGAGATCACACACATGTCCTCTGCTAAGTCCTGCTAATGAACGGCTCTGACTAATCGCCAAACGACTGGGAAACACGTTGCACAGTTTACCTGACAGCCGCAGTAAAACATCCCAGCCATTAATAATCCAGGATCTTTGTGACGAATGAAGGGAAAACCTGAAATACTCCCTCCAGAATTTCAGAAATAATAAATATGGTTAAATTTACCTACTGAGTCTGTGAAAATAGAAACAAGCTTCTTCTCACTGGCTGCGAATCAGATTTGTGCAAATTTTAATTACAGAGATTTAGAAAAAACTAACAAAAAAACTTTTTGGTAAGAAGTTTTTGTACGAGTAGTTTTTGGGTTCTATTGAAATTAGCATATTTTTCAAAACTCGTCACATGAGTCGTATGATCAACAACAGGATGTTACTACTGGTGGAAATGACAAAGACGACAAACAGGACGTGTTTGGAGGATGTTGTTTTTAAAAGACTTATTATGTGAACAAACTTATTCAGGTGTGATTTTGTATTTAATGGAAATAACGTAATTGTGAAATTAGCGGAATATCAACAAAGTTTTGCGTACATTTGTGATAGAAACGCAGCTTCTGCCTGGACCAGGGCTTAGCATCGTTAGAGGGAACCTGTCATGCAAAATTCACTTGTTGTAAATTTCATTTGGGTTTTAAAAACAGAACAAGCACTTAAAAAACTGTCCAGCCATTTCTTGCTAGTAAGTTCATGTTTTTTGGTGTCTGGAAAATGAGCTGCTTCAAAAACCTCCTGGGTTGCTAAACTCAAGCTGAGTTTCAGCATGTTTGTTCAGCTGGTTTTATCGCTGTATGCACTGTGTGACTGAAAATCCAGAAACCACTTGCTGCATTCTTGTTGGTTGCGCAGGAGGCTGCACTTGTGCTTTTCAAACATGTTAACGTGTGAGTGTAAATGCTGAGTTGGAGGGCTTGGCTAGTAACAACTTATTTGAATTTAAAGAGACAAGAGGCACTAAAACAGCTGATAAAAGTCTCATGACATAAGAATGAGTTTGTTAACAAATTGTAATGACCATGTTTTGTATAGGCCACTGACCTAAACTGTTCAAGGAAACATAACAGGTCACCTTTAACAATCCGGAGAGCCATGTTTGCATTCTGCATGTTGCAGTATCTTTGCTGAATAGGAAATAACAGAACTTTTTAAACAGTCTAAAACTAATGATATATAAATTAATGAAGCTTAATTGGTGTTTTGGGTAAAACGGGGGCCAAGTTGCCCCTGTCTTGATTCTAGTGCCGTCCCTGTGGACGTTCATTTAGAGCAGCGGTGCAACGTACCAGGATGACGGCCCACACCAGGAATCGACTCAGAATGTGGACGTTCTTTCTCTTGTAGAAAACGATAATCTTTCCAGCCTGTAGGGAGAAGAAATCAGCAAAAACGTCCAGTTAACAAAAACCAACATGAACTCCAACAGTCAGGCAGCAACTAGTTACAGTTACTCATTACAGTTACCTTTTGGAGTGAAAAGACTTTTACTGTACTTTTTAACTTTACTTGAGTAATTTTATTATAAAGTATTTGTACTCTTACTTGAGTAAGATTTCTGGATTTTCTACCCACTGAGTGAAAAACAAACATGTTTTAACCAAAAACTCAGCAGACCTGTAGTTTCTCTTAAAGTTTCTTAAGTTTTTAATTGAAAGAAACTGATGTTTCTTTCTGGTTTCGTTATTTTTGTTACTTATATAAATTATTGTCATTTTCATGCGAAAAATACCAAAATTTCCACTTACTTTATATTTAAATGACTGATCATCTCATCAGCTACTCAGTGCTTTTACCAAATACTATTTTACTCTTACTTGAGTAACATTTTCAGGTACTCTAATCTTTCCAGCCTGGCCTTGAGTAACCAAATAGTCCTGGGACGCGGCGCCCTGATGCGGCGCAGCCAGATGTGGCGTGTAAGTCATCTGATTAATTTGGTGGTGATGAATGCGTCTCAGCTGGAAGCATTAGCAGGCAAACAGGGACAAGGGCAGCGGACACCTGGCGTGTCGTCCATTCCTCGCTGACTGAGGGGCTCAAAGCCCAAACGCCTCCTGGGGATTCAGCAATGCGGCTGCGTCAGGGTGGCGGCTTCCCACAGACCAAATGCTTATAAGTGACGCTAACGACGCTAACGACCAAAAGCTTTCTCTTCTCCGAGCCTCTTGGATTTGTGTCGGTGAAGGGGAACAGCTGTCATCTCATGGGAATATATGCTACATTTATTAAAGGGCCAGCGTCCCTGTCATGTTTTGTTGTTACATATTAATAATGGAAAAGGCTACATTTATGTTTCTCCTTTATAACGTACGAACTGTGGTTATAGTTGATGCTGTTGGGTGGATTAGACAAAAAACATCCACATGTACATTTACACCCAGCTTCACTTATTAGAGCCACAGAAAAATAAACAGAATTTTCCTCAGAAAATTAAAGTCAGTTTTCAGATTAAAATCTGAAATTTGAGGAAAAAATGCCAGAATTCTAAAATTAAAGTCAGGGCTATGAAATGAAACAAAAACATTGAGAAAAATCAAAATGTTGAGAAAAAACATTTATTATTCTAACATTAAAGTCAAAACTGAAAAAAAAAAATTCAGGATTCTGAGAAAAAAATAGGAATCCTTAGATTAAAATTAAAAAATTGAGAACTTATTCTCAGATTGAAGTCAAATCTTTAAAAAAAAGGAATTTTGAGATTTCAGTCATGATTCTGGAAAAATAATCCTAATTCTCAGCGAGTCTTGAGTATTACTAATCCATTCTGCATCATTAGATGATAAATCAGACTTCCAAACCCTGGTGCCTTTTAAGCTCTGTTTTCTAGTGGCTGGTTTTACAGTTTGTGTTGCTGCTGAAACTTTTCTGGCCTCTAATTTGGAAACTTGTTTTCGATCAGCTGCTTGCTCGCCGTCCCGACTGGATTAAGGCTTTAATAGAGCGGTGAGTTGGACGCAATTTGAACCACACTTTCTGTAAAACGGCATTTAATGCATATTTAAGAGCCAAACAGATAAATCCATAATGAGGCAGCATTTAGCATTTTATGAGGCCAAAAGCAATTTAGGAACCATAAATGTGAACAATCAGGAGAAACAGGCGACCCAGTTTACCTGCATCCCCAGAAATCCCATCACAATGGAGTTGATGGTTCCCAGAATCCCTTCTGGGTCAAAGGGCAGCACAGTGAGATACATTTCCTACAAAATGCAAAAAAAACAAACAAGTAAATTCAGTGAGAATAACATGTTTCATGATTATAATAGATAAATGTTCCTACTTTGCAAGTGGGGTATCTGTACATGTTGTCACCAAACACCCATCGGTCGATGAATCCTGCTGCCCCCCCAGTGCAGTTTGGGTAAAGACCGTCATCGCCGATCCCGCCAGCTCCCAAATATCCTCTGGAGGCAACAAAACAGTCGCTGTTAGAGTTGATATTTAACGCTTTCAAAAACAGATTTCCTCAACCTCCATCATCCAACTTCCAATCAATCATGATGTAAAACTAAAAAAAGTAAATATCTCATGCTAATGCCCCTTTCATAAGCACCGGGCTGGTTGTTTGTTGATAAAAACATTCAACTAATATCTAAAAAATAAGGTTACAACGTAACATTTTTAAACTTTTAACCATTCAAAGTCACAAAGATGGAGGGAAAAAGGACACAAGAGGCAGAAGAGTCAGAGCGAGGAAGATGGATCCTCTGTCTCTTCTTCTCTGGTTCCACACGACCAGACTGAGATTGGCTGATTATACCCTCTGAAGGGTCCACCGCAGGCCGATAAATCACAAACACCTGCAGCTCCAGGAGCAGACCAACACCAAAACAGACCCAAATGGAGTCACTCGGCGTGGAGATGGTGAGGAAATCTGTTGTTGTGGCATTAATATGCACGGTGAGTTAATGAGCAGGCGGCTGCCTTGTTTGGACTTACGCCGGGCAGCCGGGTACCGGCAGGAGGAAAGTGACGCTCAGCCATAACGTCTCCAGCAGGACGATAATCAGCCACTGAGGCCAGAACAGCAGGACGTCCTGGACAGCGCTTCTCCACTGAGGCTGCAGAGGAAACGATTCAGTTTCCACGAGAAAATACCAGAAAATACAAACAACGTCCGAGTTAAATTAATGGGTTCATAACACAGATGGATGAATGGATGGATGGATGGATAAATGGATAAACTAAGTGGAATAAATGTTTTTCCTCCACTGATGCTGCTTTTCAGTGATGCTAACATGTTCTGATTCTAGCATGTTCTGATGCTAGCATGTTCTGATGCTAGCATGTTCTGATGCTAGCATGTTCTGATGCTAACATGTTCTGATGCTAACATGTTCTGATGCTAATATGTTCTGATGCTAGCATGTTCTGATGCTAACATGTTCTGATGCTAACATGTTCTGATTCTAGCATGTTCTGATGCTAGCATGTTCTGATGCTAACATGTTCTGATTCTAGCATATTCTGATGCTAACATGTTTAGCGATGCTATTTGAAAACATGCTAGCAGCCATTCATCATCCAGTTCAGTAACTTGTCATTTGTAAAACATATTTATTTATATTAACTAAATAAAACCAGTATAATCTAATATAACTTTATTGTTTTTATTCCTCAAAAACAAGTAAAAACCCATTCTGAGCTACTTAACATGCTAACATGCTAAAGGTAGATGGTGAAAAAGTTTGTGCCATGCTCCTTCTGCATGGCTTTGGATTATCTCGTGTTTAAATGTGCTGCCTCAGACTGCACCCTTTTAATGTCTGCTTCTGTTGAGCGACTGACAAAAGGGAAGTTGACATGAATTGCTCACCGCTCGCTCTGGGATTTGTTTCTGGCCCCAGAAAGTCTGCAGGAGAGACAGAACAAAGTAGGTGAAGCCCAGACGCTGCAGCACTCCGGGGATCCTGAGCCAGGACCAGGACACTGGGACACAAAGCAAACACTCAGAACAAACATATTTACATGAAACTTTACCACCTCAGAGTCAAACAACAGGCAGGAATTACTCAACAATGTTCAAATACAGACAGAATTAGGTTCAGAAAGATATTTGAAGCACGTTCCCCAGTTATCTCTTGGTTGTGATTGATTGTAATCTGCACATTAGTTAATTGGAGACCTTTGTCACACAAAGTGCTGCAAAACCACCCGATTCCAATCATTGATCCAATGAACAAATCAAATAAGAGGCGGAAATGTCTCCGTTCACAGGAGGAGCGGAAGCTCTTACTGATGAGACGCCAGTTAAATCTCTATGTTAAAGATAATTTAGACCCAAGAAAGCTGAAAAAAGAATGAAAGTTTTTACACATTAGCGTTTATTTTTGGTGGATTTTCGCTTTCAGGAAGATAAAATACTTTCAATAAGTGAAAAGTGGCATACAAATTAATTTTACTGCTCAACAGGTAAAACTGAAATAATAAACTAAGTTTTGCATGTTTTATTGAAGGAATTGTGGCACACCAGTTGTTAGAATTGGCCAGTTTTGGGGAAAAACGTTTGGACACAACTGATATAATTGCATTAAAATATATAAACTTTCTAAAGTTATACTAAGATATTGACAGGAATCATTAATCCACGGTGTAATTTATAGCTTCTGACAAAGGTAACGCCTCCTTCTCTCTGTCGACTGACATTGAAAGGGTTCGGCCTTTCGAGCTGACGTGACTCCATCCCCTTATTAGATCAAACCGCGGGACTGAAAGACGCAAAGCGTCGTCCTTGGAGATGGAGGGCAAAGCCGCTGCACACGGGGAAGTCAGATCCACAGAGTCCAGCAGCTGCAGCAGGCCTGTAACTCTATCTGTTTGTGTTCGTCCATTACCCAAAGAGCCGCCGTTTCGCCTCAGTTCGACGTCCCCGGCCGCAGGACCTTGAGACCGCGCGCTCAACAGCAGTATTTCCCTTAACCCAGTTATCCGTGCAGGAACGTCCATTAGCACCGGGGCTAATGCGCAACAAAGAGCACCAACAAATCCCAGTCGCTGAAATGGAGATTAACTTTAATCACAAATGTGGAGGCGAAGCCATTTTATGAGGTTAAAAAATTAACAGCAAATATTTATTATAAAAAGTTCTATTTTTACCATGTTATTAATTTATCAAATTTAATATTTACTTAGAAAGCTAGATATTTAGTTTTCAAGCTAGATATTTAGTTAGTAATGTAACTAATATGTTAAATGAGTTTGTTTAATAGCTAAATATTTATTTTGCTAGCTAAAAATGTTTCATTTCGGAAAACAAAATAAAAAATTTTATTTACTTAAAAAAATTTAAATTTGCCAAAATAAATGGTTTTTTATTTAGGAAAATAAAATATTAGTTTGAAAATTAAATGTTTAGAGTGGAAAATAAATTTTCAACCTAGAACTAAACTAGTTAGTTCCAGGTTGAATAACTTAATCAAAATCAAAATTAATTAAGTTAGTTAATTTTGAGCTAACTATTTAGTTTAGAAATTCAATGTTTAGTTGGCAAAATAAATAGATTGTGAACTAAATTCAGTGATAAATTAAATTTAACTTGTTTTTTGGTCATGAACCTTCATATTGTAACGTGACAAACCAGCCACCATTGCTCCTCACCTAGCAACCCGAGTTCCAGCATGTTTGGTAAGCTTGTTTGACAAACTAAGGCTTTTAGGGGCTATTTTTACCATCATTGGTATGATTTTGTCTGCATATCCACTTGTTTAGATTCCTCCTCTGGAATAGCGACTGTTCACAGTGATGTCGTTGTTGATTTGCTCTCCAGCTCTCCAAAAGCTCTGATTTAAACAACATTTTGTGAGGTTTGCTTTAGACCTACACGGGCCATCTCGGGGAGAATAGTTGAGAAAGCAGAAGCCGATTATCAGCAGCACAACTGTCCTCCAGGTGATTTTTCTCAGCAACTGCAGGCGGCCGACTCCTCTCCTCTGCATGGAGCTGAAGGCCAAAACCACTGAAGTCCCAATTATAAACACAAACCTGCAGGACAAAACACCAGGATGTCATTCAGGCACGCAATGTTCACACAGACTGGGAGAAAATATCAGGCTGGACTTACCAGGGCATGACCAGATCAGCCACCGTTAAACCTGCAAGAAATATAGCTATCAGGGATCTAAACAAACTGATTCACTGGAGCTTCATTCGCTTGGGCTCAGATTCAGTGAACTATATTAATCCCACAGGATTGTACCAACAAACAGCTACATGCTGGATATGCTAGGTATTAGCAATACAATGAATTCAGCTAAACTTAACGAGCCATTAGCAAGAGCATAACTAAACTTAGTGTTAGCTATTAGCAATATAATAACTAAACTTAGCGTTAGCTATTAGCAATGCAGCATCTAACAACTGTATTAGCTGTTAGCTCTCTACTTTATATAACAAATAGATAGCTGACAAATAGCTACATTCTTTTAGCTAGGCTAGGTATTAGCGATACAATGAATTCAGCTAAACTTATTAACAAGCCATTAGCAATAGCATAACTAAACTTAGGGTTAGCTATTAGCAATATGATAACAGCAAAGTTTACTGTCCACTAGCTATTAGATAGCTATTAGCAATACAGCATCTAACAGCTGTATTTAGCTGTTAGCTCTCTATTTTATATAACACATAGATAGCTGACAAATAGCTACATTCTTTTAGCTAGGCTAAGTGTTGCCAGCAGAGCCCAATCTGTTCTGGTTCTGGAGATTCATGCAGGTTCTGCTCTTCAGCCTCACCGTTCCAGGGAGCGTGTTGGAAGAACCAGTAGCCGCCTCCACCGTAGTTCACAAACACCATCACTGTCAGGGCAAACCTGCAGAGGCGTGAACAGATGAGCGCACAAAAAGGAGACATTAATTAGAGTAAAGGAAGGAGGAAGAAAAGAAGGAGGGAAGGTTTGACTCCAGATTTATGGTGCATAAAAGCTGAATGCTGCTTCTCCAGGTTTGGTTCTGGAGATGTAGAGCAGAACCAGAACCAGAAGACCTGAAGGGTCTGGAAGGTTGATACAACAACAGCAGATCTTTAAGCCCTTCAGTGATTTATAAACTAACAACAGTATTTTTTTTAAGTCTAATTTCTCAGTGAAGAAATGGGTGATGTGCGTTGACTTCCTGGTTTTAGTCAGAACGCCAGCAGCAGCGTTCTGGATCAGCTGCAGCCGGAGGATTGATTTTTTAAATTCAGGCCTGAGAGGACACTGCTGCAGAAATCAATGCGGCTGAAAATAAATGCATGGATGAGTTTCTCTAGATGTTGCAGAGACATTACTAGTCCTTTAATCCTGGAAATGTTCTCCAGTGACAGAAGGCCAACTTTGTAACCGTCTTTATGTGACTCTGAAGGTTGAGACCCAGATTTCAGCCTGATCTCTAGTTTCCAGCTGTAATAACTGAAGTTCTGTGCTGATGGCAGATTGTTCCTCTTAAGGTCCAAAGAGAATAAATTCAGAACCAAGGACCATGTGAAAAATGAGGGAAGGAACCAAGGAAGAAAGGAGACAAGAATGACACAAGGAAGAAGGAAGTAGAAAAGAACGGCAGGAAATGAAAGTGAGATTATAATACTACATGGAGCCCTGAATTGAAGCCGTTTTTATTGGCGAATGCCGCCTCAGCATTATGAATCACTCAGGAAATGAGCGCCTGTCCTCTGGATCTCCTCGGCTTTGCTGACTAAAGACTTTGCACCTAATATATGATACACTTTATGCCTTCCTGCCGGCCAAGCTGCTGAAACACTGCTCTCATGTGACGAAGGGCTTCGCTGTGTTTGATCAACACCTGGAGAAGCCATTATTACACACTAGTACAGATTATTACATGTTTCTGCACTAAATCCGCTTACAGTTCCTTTCTGTTCACTTTGGTTTTGGTTTAATGAAAACCAAAAGAAATCACAGGAGTTACACTGGGAGTCAAAATGAGATTAGTTCAACCTCTGAGGATAAAACCGTCTGATAAGGTGCATCTACCTCTGCCTCCTCTTGTTTTTTTCTGTCCGGATTCAATTAAGAGGTGCACCAAAGCCATTACTGCTCTTTTAGCCCCAACCTGCTGATACAAGATTTTAATCGGCTGCTATCATTTCCAAAAGGCTATTAAAGCAGAGTAAAACCCTCCCTCCGCCTCTCACACACACCCGGGCCACCGTTAAAACTTTGACGAAGGTATCCATTAGTTGCTATAGCAACGCAGACAAAGGTTAAACCCACCGCTGCCAGATGAGACCCTGTTAAAAAAAAATGCAGCAATCTCTCCACTTATTGGCCGTCGTTTTAATTAAAACCCCCAGCTGTCTGATTCCAAACGGGAGCTTTATTACACTGCGTGAGGAAACTAATTATGGATGAAGGGAGATAATTAAAGGCTAATATGATGTTCGACGACAGGTCTTTGCTTTGTTTTGCATCTGAACATTGTGGACTTTTGCTTTTTTTGTCTCAGCTCGTAATCAAGTTAAGGTTGTTAACGTGGAGATCTGTGGAGAGGAGAGCGTTTGTTTCTTGATTAGGGCCGATGACTCAGGGAAGATGAGCTGGACGCCTGTTTGGCAGCTGTGAACCTGGTCAAGATTTGCTACAAGCGTCGAGCTGTTGAGTAGAAGTGAAGTCGTTGGGACGCATCTGGAAAGTATTCACAGCGCTTCACTTTTTCCACATTTTGCTACGTTACAAAGTTCAAATAGAATTTGTTCCAAATTTTATTTAATTAATCTCTTCTGAAGTCACATACAAAGACCTCATTGTGGCAAAGTGGGAAAAGCTTCTTCAGAGATTAGCAAATATATTTAAGACAGAAAAAGAAAGAAATCACATTTACATAAGTATTTTCATTAATTTAAAGTTTAATAAATTACTTAGAGATGGCCAATTATGCTTCTTTGAACAGGTTCGGAAGCTCTATACAAAACAAAAACCAAATCATTCTTAAATAATGAGGTTTTAGTCTGCCTCGTTTCAGAATGAGACGTTTTTGGGGGTCTTGTCGCTTTAAATCCAGCTCAGGTTGCTAGGTGACGGTCGGAATTCCGCCGGAGTTGCTAGGTAACGGGCTGGGTTTTGCAGAACCCAGCCCGTTACCTAGCAACATCCAGGAGGTTTTTGAAACGTCTCGTTTTCCAGACACCAAAAACATTAATTTATCATCAAAACAAAATGTTTGGGTTGTTTTTAGAAACACTAGAGTCCAGAATGGAAGCATAAAAACGTGCAAAATGTGAATTTTGAGTGATACGACCCCTTTAATGCAGTTTGGAATGCGGTTGTAAAATAAGTGTTGTGAATACTCTCCAAATTAATTGAAGTTTCTGTTAATATTTTCCTTTCTTTTTTTCCAAAGCATGATTCTACCTCCACCATGCTTGGCTTTTAGCTTTTTCTGGTGGACGCAGTCAGATACCTGAAACCAGGACACATTTAGTTTTACCAACCAATTAGACTTCAGAAAAGTTCTCATTCCTCAACAGTCTTTACAAAACCCTGCTGAAACTCTGCACTGCAAAAACATAAAATCTTACCAAGTATTTTTATCCAGTTTCTAGTGAACATATCTAACTGGCAAGGACTTTTACAGCAAACTGTGGGAGCTTCTCTTCAGTAAATGATTCCTAAATATTGATAAAAACGTACTAGCTATCAGTGAAATAATCTGGCAAGGGAAGTAGTAATAGCTATTAGCAGCTAACAGCTGTGCCGTCTCAATATTCGCAATATAAAAACAGCAAAAAACATGCATAAGAGTTCAGCTTAGCTTATCGTTAACTAGACATTAGCAATATAGCAGCTAAGCTCACTTTTATCCATTAGCAATATGTTAACAGCCAAGATTTCTGTCCACTAGCTATTAGCAATATAAAACAATTAGCCAAACAGTTAACTATGGATCAGCAATTAGATCAGTTCAGCTAAGTTTATTGTTGACTAGAGTTTAGTTTCTATTTCTTAGCGAAATAGAAACTAATTTTAAGATAGTTTGTCTTCTTTCAACTGTGCTAAGACATTTGCACAGGACCAAAAATGCTTGATAAAATTGTGTTTTTGCAGTGAATGCACTATATGCTTAAATGTTAGGGTTGCTCCAGGGAAGAGTTTAATAAACCAACATTGCCAAGAATACTGCCAAGAAGAATTATTCCAGAAGGGGATTGATGGCTACAAACATCAGTGGTAAAGGAGCATTTAGCTAAAGGATCTTTTTGTATAGTTGCATGTTACTCCTATGCACACTCTTGCACCTTTACAGCCAAAAAAATACAGATGCTAGATTATTTAGTCTAGCTAAATTGTACTGAGGTTTGAATGTGCGTAAAGATGTTTGTCCTGTGGGTTGGCAAACTGTTCAGGGTGTACCGCAAGCTTAGCCAAGGTTCTGTTTGTCTGATCATACATGAAACTAGATCAGAGAACCTGGATGCCAGTCAAAGTAAGGCTCACAGTGAGTCAGCCATCTGGTTTAGTTCTAATACTCGTAATATATTGACTAACGGTGAGAATTTCACCGGAGAGAAAAACCAGACGAAAGGCTTTCAGCCGAGGGCACAAGATTAAAAATCCAAATCCTTTTAGAAAAATTAACGTGCGACCATAACCCAGGTTTCTCTGTATATCATGTCAGCGGAGCCAGAGCAACAAGCAGAAAAAGCTTTCAGCTGAGAAGGAAAGCCTTCAGAAATGCCTCAGCGTTTATGGCAGGTGACTGATGCGTCTGTTCTCTGCAGAAAGTTGTAAGTTATCAGGGTTATGGATCATAAGTCACAGGGCTGCAGAGACACCTGCAGCGTAAATCTTCAGTGCTGAGTCACAGTTTGATTAAATGTCATCTCACATGTCATCAGTCAGGACATCAAAAGTGTTTGTAATCTGAGGCCAGATGGTTTTCAGATTGAAACATGGAGAAAAACAGCAAAAACAAAATCTCACCAAGTATTTTTGATCTAGTTTCTTGCAAAAACATCTAAGTACACTTGAAATAAAACAAAAATAACTTAAAAGTAACTTTTCAGAAGCTATAGAAGCTTGCTTTAAGTCAATAATTCCTTAATATTGATTAAAAAAAAGAAGAAAGTATTCACTGTTGGCTCACTATAGCAATATGCTAAACACCAATACATGCTGGACATGCTATGAATTAGCAATCACAACATTAACAGCTAAATTTATTGTCCACTAGCTTTCAGCAATGCAGCAGCTGCTATATTTAATTTAATCTCTATGTGCAATTTAAAGTCAAATAACTAAACATGTTTTAGCAATAAGATCAGATTGTTATTAAGCTATTAGCAATATGAGCAATAGCAGCCGAGCTTACTGTTAGCTACTAGCATTAACAGCTACGTTTACTATACACTAATAAAGCTATTATCTATGTTTGCTGTTGGCACATAATTCGCAGTACAACAACAAATATCTAAACATGTTTTAGCTAGGTACTAGCAATAAGATCAGTTTATCTAGGCTTGTTCTTAACCAGATATTATCAATACATTGACAGCTAAACAAACAAACTGTTAGCTGTTATTGGCAGTAAGAGTTTACAGATAAGCTAGGGATGAGCAACAAGATCAGCTAATCTAACTTTTAGCTAACTATTAGCCAAAGTTCGAATTATGATTTCAGCTAACAGGTAAATATTCAGTTAGCTAGATTATAGCAACAAGATCAGCTATTCTAACCTTTAGCTAGCTATTAACCAAAGTTAGAAATATGATAACAGCTAACAGGTAAATATTCAGTTAGCTAAGTTACAGCAATAAGATCAGTTAACCAGATATTAGCAATGTCATTACAGCTAAAGTTACTGATAGCTAGTTATTGGCAATATGAGCTTTCAGATAAATTAGGTATGAGCAGGTACTAATCTAGGAATGGTACTAGTACTTTTTCATCAAAATTAAGGAATTATTGACTCTAAAAGAAAAGCTTCTATATTGCCGAAAAACTACTTCTCACCCAGTTTTGTCTCATTTCAAATGTACTGAGACATTTGCGCTTGAAACCAGACTGACACTTGGTAAGATTTCGTGTTTTTGCAGTGAAATCTCAAGATGAAACATGTCTTTCCAGGTTCTGCTCGTAAACTACATAAAAATGTTGCATATTGCATTTGGAATGTGTGCAGATCAGATTCAAATTGGTTTTCCTGCAGAGGGGAAACCACAGATGGGAATGATGCCGGTCGTCTGCTGGATGTAATTCGTGTTCTGCTGAATTTCCTCTCGCTCTGGTTTGGCAGGAGATCTATGGCCGTGTGGATGTGTGCTGATATGTTGATGATATTATTACATCAATTATTTGGCAAGGGGGAGGTCAAAGCCACACCAGCATCCTGTTTCCACAGAGGCGTGCTTTGTGTCTGCCCCCAGGCCACAATTAAGGCAAACAGGGAGCCCAGATTCAATCACATGCATCACTCCTATCCAACAGAAACACTCTGTTCCAATCCAGCAGCGCTCTCATATCAGAAACCATGCCCAAAGCTACACCGCCTCATAACAATAGCTTCAGGGAGCATGTGACCAGACGGTAACCCACGTAATTATTTATTATACCGGGCCTGTAGATCTTCATCATGTCTTGACTGCTGTAAAAAGGATTAGCATGTGAACGGGCTCAGTGGTGATAGCCTGATAAAAAGGATGGTTGTTGATGGCGTACATACCCTCGGAAAGCATCCAAGGAGAGCAGACGCGACGGCTTGGCTTCACTGCCATCATGCGCAGCCTCCTGTAGAAAAAACAGCCAAGAGATGAAATAGCTTCAGCACTCAAATTACATTCCAATGCGGGTAGTTTGGCTGTAATTTTATTCTACATATGTGTTGGTTATTTTCGGCTGTGTAATTGAAGCAAAGGACACACAAACAGAGTTCAAGAACCTTTCAAATAAACAGTTTAAATATGCAAAACTTTTAAAATGCCCTGAAATAGTGGGTAGTGACACTGGTAGCTGGATCTTAGCTAGCTTGGGGTGTTTGTTTTCATCTGAGCGGGGCAGTTTCATTTCAGATCTTTGATCTCCTTACGTATTGTTTTCCTTATGAACCGTCTTTATTCCAGTCTGGGGTTGATGTCTCGAAGTGGAACTGAATATGAAGATGTTTCATCTCCAATAAAATGTTCACATTCTGATGAAAGCGACAGATCAAATGGCCGCCGGGGTCGAAACATTTAAAAATCGTTTCTCTCTCTCTCTTTGGAGGCAGCAGCTCCTCCGTGGCCTGCTGCCCTCCCAGTTGGATTAGCCAGCCCTACTGGCCTCTGTGGACCAGTAGGAAGCACCAGAGCAGGAAGACACCGGCGCTAATATGTCATGATGGATCTGCATGCCATGCAGACGGCATATGGAAGGCAGACATGTTGCTTGTTCCAATGAGAGGAGCTATTCATGCTCACCAAAGACAGACACACTGCAGCTCCTGCCAGGGACGGAGACGATTGGACGGACGCGGCGCTCCACCGCTCCCATAAAAGCTCTGCTCTGCCAACGTTTGTATCAATCATTCAATTAGTGTCCCCCAATGGCCTGATGATTGGAGGCTCACAGCAGTTTCAGTCTGCATCTCTGGCTGGATAGCAGGCCAGCGAAAATAATGCACTGGAAGAACTGGATCATGGCAATGTGTTTGATTTCAAAATAAAAGTATAAAGTTGATGCTTTTCCACACCAACATGGCTGTTCTGGATGACGAAGCCAACAAGACACGAAAAACGCAAATTTTTTTAAACAACTTAAGGTTTCCTATTATGCTTCCTTGAACAAGTTAGGATACAAAACATGTTTTACTTTTTTTGTTGTTGCACAAAATCATTCGTAAATGATCAGATTTCTATCTGCTCAGTTTCAGAATGAGACGTTTATGTCCTCTGTCACTTTAAATCCAAATACGCTGCTGCTGGCCCCCGAAACTCAACGTTTACACTCACACATGAAAATGGCTGCAAACAGATGCATAATTATACAACCGTACGTCTTTGAAAAGCAGAAGTGGAGCCTCCTTCACAAACAACAAGATTGCAGCAAGTGTACAGCGCATACAGAGGTAAAACCAGCTGATCAAACGTCAATGGGTTGCTAGGTGATGGGCTGAACTTTTCAGCACAAAGTAAGACTTTGTTTTCTAATAATTCTTTACTATTGATGAAAAGTTCTGGTTTCACGGGCAGATTACTTCACGAGTAAATAGTTCTAGTCATTATTAAGGAAATATCGACTTAAAACAAATTCCTGTTTCTTGCTGAAAAGTTACTTAAGTTATTTTTTATCTTGTTTGAAGTTTGATGTTTGCACTAGAAGATTTTTTGCAGTGTAACGGGCTGGGCTCAGTTTGGGATGCTGGGCGACGGGCAGTGCCTGCTGAATTGTGACGATGCATTCTGAACATTTTTGAAAGGCTCGTTTTCCAGACAACAGGAACCATTAAGAAATGGCTGGACGTCAGTTTGTTTTTCTAAGTGCTTGTGCTAATTTCAGAAGCAGTAGAAACAAAAATAAAAGTATAAAAACGTGCAATATGTGAATTTTGCCATAATAGGACTCCTTTAATATAATTTTCATGCATTTAAAACATTTCTAAATCAAATCAATTGAGTTTTACAGTCAACTCATTAGGGTAGTAATCTAATGCATTCATTAAAGAAACGTTTTACTCACATTATCCACAGAGTGCAGAGGATCTTGGCAGCAGATTACTTTAATAAATTTAGATGTGCAACGCCTCCTGCAAGAGAAGACAACTGAGTGATGGAAGAGAGACCAGTAGCGACGTATGAAACATATCCTTACCTGTAGATGTAAGGCACCACAACAGATAATAACCCAATGACAGCCAGCAGCAGAGCCGCCACCAGAAGAGCTGGAAAAATGAAGGAGAACAGAAAGTTATCAGGCTGAGACGTCAGAAATACACCATGATAAACGACCATTTCTACTCACTTTTTAGAGAACAGTTTATTGCCTAGTTTAGCTGATGATTATTTAATTAATGCTGTAATGACTACACTTAAATGTATTAAGGTTTCAAGTCAATTCAGTGCCATTTTTCTGTATTGGATCGGTTTTGGCTGATATTACAACTCAGAAATCGAAGTGAAGAAGTTTCATCCCTAGTAGAGACGTCACAAAAAAAAACAACAACCAAAAACAAAGCACTGACCAAAAATGCAAGCCACACTTTTCAGATTTTTCATGTCCTCTTCTTTTGTTTTATTGGATTAACATAAAAGAAAAAACTTCACCAGAACTGAATTGAAGTCTATATTTGTAATGTGTGAAAATCAAAAGTTAACATGGTTTAATAGTTTTCTCAATAGTTTTCTTTTAAGAGTTTAACTGATTAAAACAGATTTACCAGCTTCAAGCCACAGGTAATTTAAAGTGACAGTGTTTGACCAAAGTGGAAAAACAAACAGAAAGAAGCCATTTTTAATTCAGGGGAATAATGCATGCTGACGCATCAGTTCTGCTCATTTAATCTGACTGGAAAAATCCCAGCGTTCCCGACTCCCGATCATAAATCACCTTGAAGCGTTTTCCTTTAATTGCTGCTCTTCTGATTAAACTCAATTTAAAATCCACATTCACTGTAAAACCGACATATTTAGAGGGAAAGTCTAACAAAATAACAGCCGATCCTGGTGATAAACATGGAGTCTGCAGGAGGAACCTTTCTAAAAATATATAATTTAGGAGTATTTTCACTATGCTGTGCCATTTACTTGAGTAATTTTATTATGACGTATTTCTACTCTTACTTGAGTGAAATTTCTGAATTTTCTACCCACTGAATGAAAAACAAACGTGTTTTAACCAAAGTCCACCAGACACAGACCTGCAGTTTCTGTTAAAAGTTTTTTATTGAAAGAAACTGATTTGGAAAAACCTTATTTTAACTGATTTAGTTACTTTTTGTTACTTTATGAATTATCGTCAATTTTGTCCTAAAAATACCAAAATTTTGTTCCATCTGATGATGTGATTTTTAGATATTAATGATTGATCATTTAGTTACACTGCAAAAACACAGCGGCAGATTGCTTTACAAAGTAAAAAGTGTTTTGTTGGGAGTGAAATAATTTGCCGGAGGAACTACAACTGGGTTGCTAGGCGACGGGCTGAGCTTGGCTGGCGTTGCTAGGTAACGATTGTGAAATAAGTGGCTCAATCTGCCAGAGGAACTACAACGTTTGCAACAAAATTAAGGAAATATTTACTTAAAACAAGCTCATACATCTCGCCGTAAAGTTACTTTCAGTGCCTTAAATCTTATTTCAAGTGTATTAAGGTATTTGCAGTAGAAACTAGACCAAAATTACTTGGTAGGATTTTGTGTTTTTGCAGTGTACTCAGTACTTTTTAACAAATACTTTTTCACTCTTACTCGAGTATAACTTTTGGGTTCTCGGTCCACCTCTGGTTGCGTAAAAGCAAACATTTATAACAAATATTCAAACGAAGTCAGATGAAACAACAAGAGGTCGGGTTTTGCTAACAGGGCCGCCTCGATTCCAGCTGCTGACCAGAACATTACCGAGGCTGATCCGGTCCGGAGGGGCGGTCGGAGTAATCACCGGTCTGCAGAGCTAATGGAAGCTCGCCGCGCTGTGGAAGGCGCAGTCACGCTGACCGGTGCAGATAATGGCCACTTGCCCTTAAAAGTCTGATCTGAGCATAATCTGCAGTGTTGTTAAGTAGAGTGTGCATTATGCAGAGACGCTTTCAGAATCCCATTACGCCTGTAATCCCTCCACGCCGCCTAATGCAGCCGCCGCGTCACAACCAGCACCACACGTTTCTCTTTTCATTCGTTTTCAGGACGGCCGCTCCGGTTTGATCGATGCACAGAGAGAGGAGCGGTTCTGATCTATGGAAGAACATCAGGGCCACAAAAAAGTAAAAAAAAAAAAAAGAACTCCTTTTTCTCCAAAATTCTGACTTTTCTCAAAATTCTGACTCTTTTCCTCATAATTATGACTTTTTGGGAGAATTTTGACTTTTTCCTCACAATTTAAACTTTAATGTGAGGATTTTGACTTTTTTTCCTCAGAATTCCCACTTTTTTCTCAGAAAATTGATTTTGATTTCAGAGTTTTGTCTTTGACCTCAGAATTTTAGCTTTTCTCTCAGTGCTGTTTTTTTTCCTCAAAAATTTTCTCAGATTTTTTTTGGTTTGTTTCAGATTTCTGACTTTAGTCTAGGAATTTTGACAATTTTTCCCCTCAGAATTCAATTTTTTTTTTTTCAGAAAAAAAATCTGAATTCTGTCCTTTTTCTGAGATTTAAGACTTCTGTTTCAGTTATTACATTTTTTTTATTCTGACATTATTAGGAAATCTTTTACCTAAATCTCAGGATTTTAATTTTTTTTTCTTAGAATTCTAATCATGTGTCAATTTATGTCTAAATCCAAATAAAAGCCAAACGTTCTTAGGTGTATGTCAGTTATGTGGTTAGTATACCATTACCTCGCTAAATTAAGTCCGAGTCATTTTTTCGCAAAAGTGACTTTGGCAAGAAAAAGAAAAAAGAAACACTTTAGGTGACAGTAATTTGCTTGTTGTTGGAATTATTAATCTGCACTTTATCCACACTGAAAACCTGTTGCAAATGTATTTGGTAGATTAGAGTTTTAATGCTAGGTTTTCCTGATGGTACAGAAACAATTTCAACAAAAAAGTATTTATTTCCAGTGGCCCTAATGTTCTTCCGTACCGCTCTGTTCTGACTCAGGTAAGTAAACGTTGTGCTCTGTGTGACCCAAATGTCGGTTCTGTCACTGCATCCACATTGAGTGTGTTATACTTACGCAGGTAAGCGTTGTTTGGACTCTTATCCACTGAGACGCTGCAGATCGGGTCAGCGGAGGCCGAGGGCGTCTGCATCCAAACAGAGTAATGGCCTCCTTCCTTATATGTTCGACTCCATCTGCAGCCGCAACACCGGCAGACAAATTTCCCTGAAAAGCTTTTATCTGATGCTGTTCTTTCTGCAAAAGCCGCCTGATGTTTTTCTCATCAAAACGGTGCAAAGTCAAAAAAACGTGTTAATGGATTCAGGTTCATCTGTTAAGCTCAGGAGCTCCACCTGGTGGCAGAACCATGAATTCCAGTTGCAACCAAACTTCAGTTTGTTGCTAAAACCACATCATGACAATTTTCAATTTCATTCAAAGTAATATTTTAAAATGAAAAAGTTAAATTTCAAACTGTGAATTAATTTAACTGAATGCACAGGAACAAGACATGTTTCAAAGTTCACCTACTTCCTCTCCATCACAATCACCAAATAAATGTATGTCAACTTTTGAACTGAAAGAAAGTTATAAAAAAACCTAAATAGAAATTATTTTGGTAATTATAACTAAAACAATAAAAGTTTGTTTTGATTTAACTTCAGGGTGAAAAATATTAATGTGTCTTTGTTCTTATTTCTAAATTTTTATAAAAAAGAAAAACAAACAAGATCAAAAATATTATTTATAAAAATGTCCTGCAGAAGCTGACTGTCAAAATGTCAAATGTTCCAACATTTCATTATTTGTGACCTGACTAAATGTTAAAAAAGCTAAAAGCGCTGCGTAAATCTCCTGACCTCTGATTGTCTCCAGTTTCAGGAACAGAAACATAGATTGCATGTTGCTATTGATCCGGAGCTGCGATGACAAACCGGCTGCCACTCTGACGGGTTTTTTCTCTCACCGGGGGAAAGCAAATCAATCGTCTGGTTAGAAACCTCAGCATTGATCACAGAAAAACAAAGACGAGAAAAATAAAGGTGATTATGGGAGTAAATCCATCCCCAAACGCACAGCTGAGTTTATACAGATGGAAAATGTCTCTGTTCTGTTGCTTTCAGGTTTTAGTGAACCATTGTCATCAATATTAGCATATCGGCTCTTGTTAACCCCAGAAAGCTTCCTGATCAATAACCTCAGAGGTTTCAGAGACGACGTCACTCAGCTCCCAAAAGCAGGACATGGTTTCTCAAACAGGCCAGTAAATAATAGGATGCTGATGCCGCCGTCTGTAAGCTAGCAGGAGAAACGGTGAATGTTAGCGATGCTAGCAGCTGGTTTTCACCTGCAGAGCGTCGAGTTCCTGGTCTGCGGTTCAACCTGCAGCGTCAGGGCGAATTTAGTGCTGATTATTGCAGATGCATTGTTGTTGTTGGGCTTCACGGTGACCAGCTGCTGCTTCACACACTGGAACATAAAAAAAAAAAAATCATTTAAACAACTAAATCTGTCTCAAATCACATAAAGTTAAATGACATAAGACATAAGAGAAAAAAATTCATATTTTCACCTTGTCATTCACAGCTTCAAACTAAATATTTACTTAAATATTTAGCTTGCTAACTAAGTATTCATATTGCAAATAAAATATTTAGCTTGGAGCCAAGTACTCAGATTTTAAACTAAATATTTAGTTTAGTTAGCTCACTTGCCTAATATTTAGTTATAAACAAGCTTCTTTAGCTGGCTTTTGGCAACTAAACTATCAGCTAAATATTTAGTTTGGAGCAAAATAATAAAATTGTCAATGAAATATTTAGCTTAGCTAGCTTGCTGACTAGGTCTTTAGTTTGGAGACCTAAATATTTAGTGTACTCAAGCTAAATAAGCTAAATATTTAGTTATCAAGTCAAGTTCTTACCTTGATAAATAAATGAGAAGCTAAAAATTTAGCTTCTCTTTTAGTTTGACACAATTAGATTATCTAAATTATAAACAAAAAATTTTTTGAATTAAAGATAAACTAAATATTTAGTAGCTTGTCAACTTGAAATTTAGTTTGTAAACTAAATGTCTAGCTTAGTTAGCATGCTAACTAAATATTTAGCTTGCAAAATAAATATTTACCTTACTCTGCATTTTTTTGTGAGAAAGATTAAAAGAAAAAGTAAATATTTAGTTTGTAGCTAACTTTTTAGTTTGTTATGAAGTTATTTTTGTTACCCTGTAGCAGTAATCTGAGGTGTAGAAAACCCGGACCGGTTCTGTTAGCTTATTGTGAAACGTGAGCAGAGCCTGGTCCAGTTTCAGAGGACGTCCTGCAGAGATTCAGCCTGATTTATGGGTCATCATAAAAACATGACATCTACAGGGCGTTTCACATCACAACACACGAACAACTGGAGGAAAACAGAAAATATGCCACAGAAATCAAACGCCACTCACCGTCCTCTGGAAACACAGAATCAAACTCCTCGTTTCTGGTGATTCCTTCTGTGCTGCAGGGAACCAGGAGTGAAACCAACAGGGCTGCAAAGCGCAGCCTGCAGGAATGCATCATGTTGCTGCTGGGACTGTCTGTCCTGCTGCTCATCTTTACGGCTCTCCCGCCTGTAAAACCCGGTCAAAGGTCACCGACACAAAAAGGTGTTTCTTCCTCTGCCTGAAGTCACACATCCGGCTAATACATCGTTATAAATTACGAAATGGATGGCTGATAGAAACTCTAAACTTTAGTATGATTTTAGAAGCGTTTTAGAGGTTCTTATATTTTCCCGCGCCATGAACCCGAAGCTATTAGCATTAGCTTCGGGTTGGGACCCTCTCTGAAAACCCGCAGATAATGTTACAAAATATCCGAAGAGACATCAACTTGTAGAATACTTTTCTTACTTTTATTTATTGTTAAATGTCCGGGCAGCTGGACGGCTCCTTCGATCTTTTTCTTGACGGTAAACTTCATTTCGCACTAGCTTGCTAGGCTAACTATGCTAGCAATCCAATCAGAAAGATGAATGTGGTAAATGACTTTTTAATAAATTATTTTAACTTAATAATGTGTGTAAACTAGAATAATTTTTATTAATAAAATATAGTTAAAAAGGTAGTATTACAAATTGTATTAGTATTTTTCTTTTTGCCATTTTTTTCTTCTTTCCACCTTCCCTCGAGCGCCCTCTGGTGGCAGCCATTTTGAAGAATATTGTCTAAACACATCATCTCCAGTTTTTGTCCCAATCTCCTGAAATGCAGCCAACTGGTAAATCCTGATCCCAGTCATGACTTCATTTCATTAACCAGTTAATTTCCTCCAGCACTCCCAGTGACAGATGAGTTCACTGGGGCAAACCTCACTGGAGGCGCCTGTTAACCTTTGACCTCCACTGGAACGACCTGTCAGATCTGCTCTCAGGGTTTCTGCAAATGGTGGTATGTTCATATGAGCACTTTCTAATTGATTTACTTATTTAAATATTTAACACTCAATTAACTAACTAAATAATCAAATTTAATCACTAAAATAACATTTAACATATGAAATAATTAAATACATTTATAAATTTCTGGCGCTAAAGTTGACAGGAATTTGATCTATTTATTCACTATTTGGAGCTGATTTGGGTATAATTTTAAATTAAGTTAATGTTTATTGCACATTAACTTCATTTTCAGTGTTTGTGCAGAATATTGATCATTTTCGTGGGTCCAGGAAGCAGAGTGTCACCACAGAGCAAACAGCAGCTGACCCCACGCATGCCTGGTGCAGCAGATGCGTGTTTATTATTAAACCTGCGGCTGGACTCGCTTCTGTCTGGCATGATTTCTGCTCAGGCTTCAACAGAGACGGCCTCTCAGGACCCCCAGCTCCCGTTTCGGATGCATTGGGTCCAGCTGCAGTCCGAGGCTCCCACAGCAGAGCTGCGTCTCCTCCATCATGGTGAGTACGCGCAACCTGTTGCTTCACTTCCGGCGTTTTTACGCCACAATGAACAGGAATGTGCGGGATTTATGCATAAATGCGCAGGTTTCTCTTGAGTTTGCGTGTTGGAGGGGATTTCTTTGTGAGCTGATAATGTCACTGATTAAACAGATTACACTGTTGCTACGATACCTGATGATGTCACAGCGCGGATCCCTGCAGGGAGAAAGAAACATCTGCTTGGTTCAGACAGCTGACGAAAATCATGTGACTTTGAAAAAATAGTTAAAAACTAAAATGGAAATAACCAAATGCGTGCAGACAAACAGAAAACACATTAAAGTGATCCGGGGTTTGCTTTTGAAGCAGGAATGCGGCTGCTTATCATTTCCAGATGGACGCGTTTTCAGCCAATCAGAGTCTGACTTTGAGAAGCTGCCCCTCTGCAACCTGCAGGAGACAGAGGAGTAAATATAGGACAAAACAGTTCACAGGAAAAACAGGGGAACTTTCACAGCTACAAAAGGCAAAAATTTGATTTAAAAAAAAACTATAAAATTAACATTTTCTACAAAAAAATGACATTTCCAGAGTTTGAAAAGTTTCTGAAATCATAAAAATTCTAGAAACAAGAAAATCAGAGTGTAATAGTTGAAAATGTGCTTGGAAAAAATCTGAAATTTTGGAATTACTCTGAGAAATAAAAAAAAATAATAATTGGAAATTTGAATTTCAAAACTAAAATTTTAAAAAAAGAAAAAGGAAGTTTCTGACTTTGAAAAGCTAAAAATTTGCTGGGGAGAAAAAAGAATGATTTTGAGATTAGTCTTGAAATTTCTACCAGGACATTTTTTGAGTGTCAAAACATTTCTAGAAGAAACAATAAAATATCCAAAAAGTAAAGAGTATTTGCTTGAAAAAATATTTCAGAATAATCTTGATTTGAGTTTGAAAAGTCAAAATTTTGCAACAAAGAAAGTTTCAAGTCACAAATTTAAAACATTTGAAATGCAGAAAATTTCAAATAAATATCTGAGCTTTTTGACTAAGGTGAAAAATATACTAGCAAAAAACTCAAATTCAAAGACTGATTGCAGAAATTTTCTAAACAAGGAAATTTGAGTTTTAAGAAAAAAAGTTAGATTAATCAAATTAATTTTCAACTTTTGAAACTTAAATTTCCAGGTTTTTGAAGAAAAGTTCTGAGATTAATCTAAATAATAGTTTGTTTGTTTTTCTAGCAATTAGAAACTCAGAAATTTCCCTGTATTTTTATTTTCTGTTAGAAAATATCTGAGTGTTTTGGGCAGAAACGTCCATGTTTTCTTTCTCTCCCTCCTGTTTCTGCTGCAGGCCGGTAAGATCCAGACTCTGAGCGAAGAGGAGCGCGCTCACCTGCTGCCGCTGCTGCGAAACGCCCAGTGGGTGGAGACGGTCGGCCGAGACGCCATCTACAAAGAATTCATCTTCAAAGACTTCAATCAGGTTGGTTCATCAAACAGCTTACGAACAGCATCTGAATGTGACTGCGTGACGCTTCCGCTCCGCCTGCAGGCCTTCGGGTTCATGTCCAGAGTGGCTTTACAAGCGGAGAAGATGGACCATCATCCCGAGTGGTTTAACGTTTACAACAAGGTAATATGATGGTGAATATGCGCAAAAATAAATTCAATAACCTTTATTACAGTATTAAAATCTCACGTCCAATATTTAGGTAACCTTTTTTAATAGGAGGATCTCAATTGTATGGAAGGCTATTGCTGCCACTCTCATGAAAAAGAAAATTCAACTTGTTTCTTAATTATGAGTTAGCGATGTCATAAATATGAGATTATCTCATAATTTCATGTTTATCACTTTAAATTACTGGATCAGCTCGATTAACTAAATTAGATTTATGCCAGTAGCTGCGTTTCCAAAAATGTGTACAAAAATTTGCTAAAGTTTGAAAAAAAAAATTTATTGTGTTGCTTACATTAAATAGGAATTAATAAATTTGTTCATGCAATACGTCTCTTAAAAACAAAAAAACATGTAGCACCACCATGCTTCAACTACCGTCATCTTCTTCGTTGTTTCCGCCAGTAGTAACATCTGGTTGTTGAAGAAAGTGTTTCTATGGCAGTTTTCTGAAATAAAACAATTTCAATACTAAAACAACCCACCTAACTAACTGCGTCTCCATTGACCATAATTGCACAAATTAATAGCAAAAACGAATTTGCTTAAAAACCCTCCTATTTTTTGATAAAGTTATTGCCCTGCAGTAAAGTGGCTTTTGGGCCATGTCAACATTTATTTCACAAAACTGCAGACTTTTTATGCATCACAAGTCACATGATCAACAACAGGCTGTTACTACTGGCAGAAATTATGAAGACGACGCACAGGAAGTGGTAGGAGGAGGATGGCGTAGCAGATTTTTTAATGACATTGCGTGAACAAACTAATTCAGGAATTGTGTTTCTTATTTCATAGAACAACTCCAAATGCGAAATTGTATTTTTCAACATAAGCAAAATATCGATAAGGTTTTGCGCACATTTGTAACGGAAAAGCAGCAACACTAGTGCATTTTAATTTAAAAAGTGAGTTTTTCTTAAATGGTTATGTTTCCATTAAGCAAATTTATGTTTGTAATTCCAATTTGTGTCTTTAGAAACTGAGTTATTGTTCAGTGCGGTTCTTTTTCTCAGGTCCAGATCACGCTCAGCACCCACGACTGCGGTGGATTGTCTCAGCGCGACATCACTTTGGCCACCTTCATCGACCAGGCCTCCCTGATGTGAAGCTGCTTTAACTGAGAAACAATCAGATTTCAAACGCCAAATGAAAGTAGATTACTCTCAGTTCTCTGTGAAAAAGAAAAATGTAGCCATTTGGTTTGTTGTTGAAACTGAGAAAACAGAATCAGGTTTATGTTACGTCAGGATTTGAGTAATTCCAGCAATCATGATCCATTCCAGTTGGTGTTTCAGAAAAAACACTGATTTCTTGTGCCTGTTGTTTTTTGTATTATGGTAATAAAATGTTAGGCTGCATTTGTGACCTGCTGTAGGTAAACAATGAGCAAGAAGCCGTTTTATCAGGCTCAGGGTGATTTATGTATCTGATAAGGCAGAAAAGTTCTGACTCAATCAGTTGTGGAGCTCGAGAGAAAGAATTAAAAAAAATAATAAATTTTGGGCTTTAAATTAAGAAAAACAAAAAAAGTTTCCCAAAGAAGTATTAATACATTTTCTCCTTTGGAAAATGATTAAAAGAAAATGGATAGTACAAAAAAGTGGATATAAAAAAAATATTACTGGAACTTTTACTGTCATTTTGCCTGTCGCTTATAGACATAAAGGGCTAGTTGGCTAGCAGGGGCAGCTACTTAGCACTAGATTCAACCAAATTAAGAAGAAAATGGGCAAAAAGTACAAAAGACAAAAAAACTACAGACTAAAATTGTTAACTTTTATAAAAAATTATTTTTACATATTAAAATTGTCACCATGTTGTGACAGTTTCTTACAAAAGAAACTGGTCTGTGACTAAAGCATTAAAAGCCAACATACATTATTTTAATGAGCGAAAGGCACAGAGGTCCAAACGTTTGGCCTTGGAGACAAAACAAGTAAATGTTTTACTACTGGGAGGCCACAAAGTTGGTTAAATTAAAACTGTAAGATATAGTTTGTGATATTTCTTGATTAACCTGCTCAAAAATAAACACTTTTATTAAATCTGTATATCTTTAAATATCAGAAACATAAAAAGGGCTTCAGACTGTTGCCTTATTAAAAGAAAAACAGACCTTTTCCAAAATTTTTGTCTTCAATCATTTTAACCATTCTTGACATGTCATAAGGGGTCGAACAAATTCATTTCAAGGACCACAAATGGCCCCCCGCCCACACTTTGGACTCAAATCTTTACACAGGTGCGTCCTTATTTGAGTATTTTGTAATTTTGAAATTTTATTTGAACTACATGTAAACCCATACTACTAAATACAATCATTTAATGAGAATTAAGGGCAGATTGTTTATTTTCTGTGAAGAAAATACATTATTAGAGTAAAAGTTACAGCAAAAAGTCTTTATGGAGTCGTCGTTGGTCAGTCTTTATGTTGGTTATTCACTGAGCCTTTGACGGGACTCAGATTATCAGGTTTAACAGGCAGATATGTTGTAAATGTTACACATCAGGCACTGAATAAAACATGGAGGAAAAAACAAACAAAACCAAGTACATTCATGTGTAATCTGAGCAAAAATGCTACCCATGAAAACAAATGCTCACAAAAAAGGCTTGAATGTCTATTAGAAAGTGGTTAAAAGTTTTTACGATGGTGCATTACACTGTAGAAAAAAAGGGAGACAATTCTGCCATAAAACTATAAAAAATTTAGGTTAACTTCAAATTTTCCAGAAAAAAGATTGGAAATTTCTGAGGTCCAAACGTCAAAACTTTATGAAAAATAAAATTAGCAAAATTATTTATTTTTGGGGGAAAAATACATTTAAACTGGAACATTTTCTACTTTTGAAACTCAAAAATATAACAAAGTGGTGAATTTTTAACTTTTAAAATTCAGAAAGTTTTCAAGTTTATCCTAGAATATCACTGAGATTAATCTCATTGTTTATTTTTTTCTTGCAAGTGTTGGACTTTTCAAACTAAAATTGTTTTAGTTTTTTTCTAAAACTTTCTGAGAATGTTCTCCAAAAACATTTTTTCTCGAGCAATTTTTCCACTTTTGAAACTCAGAAATTTCCTTTTTTTTTCTAAAACATTTCTGTGAATAAGCTCAAAATCTGAGTTTGTTACTCATTTTTTTCTCTCATTAATGGTCCTAATATTGCGCCATATATGTTAAATTATCATCATTGTTATGTGGCTGATTTAAACGCCAACAGCGGAGATTCTCCCCTTTTCCCCACCACTTTGCACAAGAAAAATGTATATTGCACAAAACTACTTTAACCGCATTAGGAGAACAGATAAATCAGAGACAAAGTGATTTACAGTTTGCTTCGTTAACCTTTAAGGAACCGTCTACATTTCCAGAAACTTCCTCCCAACCGGCCGGATCTGCGGCTTTGAATCCGCGTTATTGAGGCGGCCTGATAAACTCACAGTGTTGTGTGGAAATCCGTCACCCTGCTGGATGAGGCCAGTACAAACTGAGGTAGATTCAATAAGGACACAAATTAGCACAAGACGCTAAACACAGAGTAGAAACCACTGAGAATAGACCAAGAGTTGAAACTTCAGTCTGTTAGGAAGAAACCTGAAATCTGATTGAATCTGGATATTAATGCCTCTCATCTCCTTTACGGCCCAAACGTCAACAAACAGAAACTCTGGAAACAAAATAAACATTTCATGCAGGCAGAGCTTACTATAAATTATATATTTTCAAAGTTTCAAGAGTTGGAAATTTCCAACTTTTGGAAATTGTTTGAATTTGAAAAATGTAATAATTTCAAAACAAATTTTGAGACTGATCTGAAATAAAAAAATCTGAAATTTGTCAGTTTCAAAAATATTTCCAAACTTTTTCAAGAAATAAAATTGAAGATTAAACTAAGTTTTTGAGTTGTTTCTAGCAGATTCTAGACTTTTCAAAAGTTTTTTGTTGACAATTTCTGAGATAAATCTAAAGAAAGTGTTTTCAATCAAATACTCAAGTTTTGAAACAAGAAATTTTCTCATTTTCTTCTACAAAATTTTTGATTTGTGTCAAAATTAAAGCTAGCAAATCAGAAAATTTGTTAGCTTTTTCTTGCAAATTTTTGACGTTTGCAACTCAGAAATATTCGTAAGTCCAAAATGTTCAACTTTTGAAAATTTTCTAATCTTCAGAAGTTGAAAATTTTCAATTTTTGAAACTCAAAAATTTCAGAATCTTTAGCAAATTTTCGACTTTTAATCACTTAAAATTTCAAGTTTTTTCTAGGGAATTTCTTAGATTTTTTAGCAGAAATGTACTTTTTCCTTCTGTTTATGATGGATTTAAAAGGCCACTGTATTGCAGAGCTCTTTGTACCAACAAGACAGAATGAAATAAATGCTGCATGTTGAAGCGCTGACAGAAAATAGCTGCAGTCCTCACGTTTTCACGCTAGAGGGCAGCACAGCAACTCTATCAATGGTTTTGAGGTGTTGCTGAAAGAAGTTGAAATGTTCAGACAAAAATAAAAATGTCAACAGAAGAAAAAACTGAATTGTTTCGCTATGATTCAAACACAGGTGCATCTCAAAATATCAAAAACTTCTGAAATTTCCATCATTTCAACTGTTAATGTGTTTATTTTGATGATTATAGAAGAAATCTAATAAAAACCAAATATAAAAGTCTCTTAGAAATTATTATAATAATAAATTTGTGTATAATTTATGTTATAATAACAATAAGTTATTGTTATTACTATAACATAAAAATATCAGCCGGGCTGCATACAAGCAAAGTTAATGGAAAGTTAACTGGAAGGAAAAACAGTGGAAATCCTCAGGACTGCTACTTCCTGATCTCCTCCATACCATGCCGCATTGATCCAGTAGTTTCCTAGAATGTAATATTCTAATCTTGAGAGAAAAAAGCTTTTAGATTTTCATTAGTATGAATGAATAATCACAGAAATGATCAGAAATAAACACTGAAATCATCAACAAGTTAATTTTATGATAATTTTTGATTTCTTGAGATGCACCAATAGGAGAACGTGTCAAGATTAAGAAATGAAAACTGTCTAAAATGAATGAAAGATAAAATAACACACAGTCAGTCCCATGGCATTGTTAAAATCAAGTTAAAGGTTCTGGTGAACCCAGGAAAGTCCAGTTTCTCTCTGGGTTCAGTTAAGCGATGATGGCTTCTTCTTCTTCTTCTTCTTCTTCTTCTTCTTCTCCTAAACGCTCTGCAGACTTTCTCAGTGCAGTTTTAAATAATAAGGCAACCGTTGAGCGATTTAACAAGGAGCACATTGACCTTGAAATTGGGTTCAAGGACGTGGAGAGTTAAACTTTAGTGGGCTTTGCTATTGCCGTTCATGTGGCTGACGTTGGATTTTGGTACCTCGGTGCTGTAGAGACAGTCCAGGAACCCTCTGGAGATCTCAGTCACCAGGGACCGGTCTGGGATGGACTGGGCCATGCCATAGATCGCCCCCTGGAGGGGATACAGGAAGAGAGGGGTCAGATAAACCCAAACTCATCATTTGGTTCAGATGACAGACTAGATGGCTCCGCCCACACCAGGTTTCACTCAGGAAGAGCAAACCTCCAATAAACTACCGCTGGAAAAGGTTGTGATCCTCAGTGATACCAGAAAATTTTCTCAGAAATGTTGACTTTTTTCTCATAATTTTTCAGAATGAGATTTTTTAGGCATATATAGCGGTAAAACCAGCTTACCAAACATGCTGGAACTCACCTTGGGTTAACTTACTCCCAAAAACAATAGGGTGATTTTTTTAAAGGTGTTTGGGTTGTTTTCAGAAGCAGTAAAAATCCAAATGGATGTAGAAAAATGAGCAAAATGTGAATTTAGGTCCTCTAAAAATTCATCACCAACTCACCATTCCTGTGGTTTTCTCTCTGGGTTTCTTCATGATGATGGCGACCTGTTCTTTAACTTCCCGAATGAACCGATCAGCAACCCCAGGCTGGGTGTGGAGCACCGTGCAGCATAGGTGGATGCTGCAAAGGAAGACATGACGCTGTAAACACTGAAACTACCAGCATGTTTGGAACATACGGAAGCTCAGAAAGGACGAGAATTACACCTACTACGCTAATGTGAGGAACATCGGTTTAATGTTTGCAGAGTATCCCAAAGTTTTACTTAAATGAAAGTACCACTACTTCAACATATTTTTACTCAATTCAAGAAATTACTCAAAAAACTTTAAGAGTATTTGATAAAAAATCTTCTAATGTTTTATCATTACAGGAATCTTGTTTTTCTAGTTTTAGCTTGTTTACATTAGTTTCCTTTGTCTGAAAAGTGTTTTTCATAATTTTCTTGATTTTATGATTTAATCCTCCTGAGATTTGCAGTTGTTTTCTCTAAATTTTCCACTTCCCCCTCATCCAACCTGGATGGAAACTGCAGCGTGTTCAGGTTCCAGCCCTTTGACGTCAGCGCGTTCGACAGGCGGAAGATGTCAAAGTCCTCGGAGCCGATGGCCACCACAGACACTTCCGGGTTCCCGAACACAAACACTCCCTTTATTTTTCTCATCCTGTCCAAAACGAAAACAGATGTTAGCACGTTGGGCTGCTGCCTCACTGCAGCGCCGGCTGAATGTGGCCGTCTCACTCGTTTCTGATCTTGCGCGCCGTGCCGATGATCTTCTTGGTGGCGTCCACGTAGCCGCTCTCTCCCATGTACATCATGGTGGCCCAGCAGGCGGCGATGATTCCTCCGGGCCTGGAGCCCGCCACCGACGGCGAGGCGTAGATCCCCCCCTGCCAGTCTGGAGCCACAAAGTACTGGTACTGACGGTACTTTTTATCGCTATAGAGGATCACAGATGAGCCTTTGGGCGCATAGCCGTACTGGAGAGAAAAGGATTAAAAAGGTGGAAATAAAAACATAAAATGAGACTTTGTGACTTTATTTAAACCAGAGCTGCCACAGTTTGTGCCAAAATTAAATTGAGAACCACTTTTCTATTTTTACTAAAACTTGAAAGGTTTAACTTTTAATGTCTTGTTAATATATTAAATATGTTACATAGACAATATTTTACAAAAATAAGCTAAATAATTTTTTTTTCAAAAAGGAATTTGTAAATTATTCTTGATCCAAAAAAGTCTTTGCTTCTTTTTTCTTTTTACATAAAAAAAAAAAAGTTTAGGTAGAATTTGCTGGTTTTACCTAAATGTAATCAATGAAAACAGAAAAAGTTTAATAAAGTAAAAAACTTTGTCTTGTACATAAATATTTAAAAATATTTTATGTGTGTTGAAATCTCAAATTGATCACAAATGTGCTCCATTATTTAACTGTTGACTGAAACATGATAAAGAACACTGTAACTTTGTTTCATTTATAAACTGGGAAAATGACGTCACTGGAACTACAAGTCGGTTGCTAGGTAACGGGCTGGGCTTGGCTGGTGTTGCTAGGTAACGGGCTGGGCTTGGCTGGTGTTGCTAGGTAACGGGCTGGGCTTGGCTGGTGTTGCTAGGTGACGGCCTCGAGAGTGTTGACTGAAACAACCGAAATAATCTGCCAATAGAAATGGTACTTTTTCATCAATATTGAGGAATTATTTACTTAAAACAAGCTTCTATATCTTTCTGAAAAGTTATTTTTAAGTCTTATGTCAAATATTCTAAGATAATTATGTTAGAAAATAGACTAAAAATGCTGGGTGAGATTTAGTATTTCAGCAGTGCATGCTCCGCATGGGATCCAACTCTCTGGCTTATGGTCTCTTACCTTGTGGGTGTCTGCAGAGATGCTAGTAACTCCCTTCACTCTGAAGTCAAACGGGGCGAGGGAGTAACCAGCTTTTTCCATGAAAACAATGAGAAACCCGCCCAAACAGGCATCCACATGCAGAGGGATGTCGTAGCGCACCGCCAGCTGCAACACAGCGACTGAAAGTTTCAAAGAACGGACTTCCCCGTTTCTGTTTTTGGCCATATTGGGGTAGGAAATGTCTGGCCTCTGACCTTGGCGACTTCTTCAACCGGATCCATGATGCCATGGGGGAACTGGGGCGCAGAGCAGACAAGCATGGCTGTGTTTTTGCTGATGGCTCTCCTCATCGCCTTGGTGCAGAGCAAACAAAAGGAGAATAATGAATGTTTGAAAGCAGGAAACACTGAGAGGGAATAACACACGCGCACTCACCTTAACGTCGACCTTCATGGTCTTCTGGTCGAGAGGAATGTGGACGAGTTTCATCCCAAAGTAATGTGCGGCTTTGTCGAACGCCGCGTGGACGCTCACTGGAGCAAGACTGAAGATTAGGACAAAAAATACCTCAGCACTTTCACTGGAAAATAGGGCTGAAACAATTAATCAACTATTGAAATAATTGTTTACTAGAGACGATTTGCCCCCAGAAAATGGTACTTTACTAACAGACTAATATAATCAGAGCAGTAATTTGGCAAAAAAACTATTAAAACAATTCATACATTTTTCATTGAAGATAAAAAAAAACCTTTGTCTATAAATCTGTTTCATCAAAAACTACAGAAATGACATTTTAAAAAATCTAAAAATGATATAAAATTAATCAACTGATCAGCTTTACTGTATTGATGTCAAGTAAACTGAGCTTTTGCATGTTGAGGATTATTTTTAGCTGCAGATGCATCCTGTGCTACAAGTAATCAAATTTTCACTGAAGGAATGTTATGTTGTTGCAGTTTAGGGAGCAAAATGTTTATTTTCTCATTTTAAAAAGGAACTGATTTGTTTATTTTTATATTTGAATGTATTTCTAATATTGCATAAGAAAAGGTCACATGAAAAACCTGCAGAATGTGACAATTCTTCAACAGATTAATTGATTGATCGTTGCAATAATTGATTGTCTAATCGATAACAAAAGTAATTGATGGCTGCAGCCCTACTGGAAACAAAAAGCCAGGTCTTCTGAAGCTCATCTTACATTTCAGGGAACGTCACACCCCGCTCATAAGCCATGTCTCTGTATGCTTTGCAGGCCATCAGGATGCTCTCAGTTCCTCCAGAAGTGACCTGGGAAAAGCCAAGGTGAAGATCCATCAAATTGAGCAAATCTTTCCTCAACGGACTTGTGGATTTCCTGAGATTGTAACAATAAAACATAATATTTTATTTGGAGTATGAAGTCTGAGGTTTTACAGTTCCACAGGAGTTGGGTCCACCGTGGAACAGGGAGCAGGACATTCGGACAACCTCAGCTTCCATCTTCCTGACACCAGGAAAGATGTCCGGGTGGAGAGGGTTGCTCCACGCAAAATCTCCATAAACCTGCACAACAAAACATAACATCGGAAAAAAATTATTAGAACAAAGCTTTCAAGTGTTAACAGGGCCGAAACGATTAATCACAAAAAACGATTAATCGGTGACTGCAGTATCCAGACTAAAACAAGGCCATTTATCAAAAATTATTATTTTCTTAATGAAAAAAGGATCTTAATTATTTTGTTTATCTGTATCAAAATCTAATAACGCATTGGCCCATTTTGCAGATTTTTTTATTTAACCACTAGAGTCTTTATATATAATATTTGAACTACAAAAACAAATAACTAAATTTATTTTTTGAACAAGAACATTTTCTTGCCTCATACCTTCACCAGGAGTTTGGTCAGAGTTTCATCCCCCCAGTACACGGCACCGGAAACACACCCTTTGTCCCACTGTACTTCATCTGGAGAAGAAATATTTTAATTTAATTTTGTATCACAATCACTCAATAATATATATGAATACTAACAACTAAAAGAAATGAATGAAAAGGAGCAGAAGGAAGTAGAAACTTATATCTGCCCCCTACTGACGTGACTATTCATCTCCAAGGACTACAAACATATTTTAAATGCACAAAAAATAAACAAAACATCACCTTATTCAACACCATTTCATTTTATTATATTTTGTTGCTATTGCTATTTGTTCTCCTATGTATTTGGTTGTTATTTTGCAGATCAATTCATCTGTTTGTAAGTCAGTAATGTTTGTTTTATATGCACTAATTGGTGCTGCAGTAGAACAATCCCGTTGACAAAATGAAACCTGGAGATGGAGGTATTATTAATTTGGTGCACTAAAGGAAAAAATAATGCAGAAAAACCACTGAATAATAACTTCAAACCACTTTTTTCTCACGCTCTGTATCAGCTACATTACAAGCAGACTAGGTGTCATGGCAACTGACTGACAACAGCTCCGCTAATGTATCAGGATTCAACACTAAAAATTATTCAAACGTTACCACAAAAAGAACAGAGCATTCAGTCTGTTACAGTTCTATATGTTTAGGCTTGATGTTTATTTTGTTATTAATAACTAATAGCTGCGGTAGATTAAATGCCACTGCTATTAGCTACGCTAACTTAGAGGTGGTTGATTAGGTAATTTAAACAATTGCGCTACTGATGATCTGTCAGAGTTGTTGCGTGATTATTTTTTAACTGAACCAAAACAAACCAAATTCCACATCATGTTACGGTTGTCAAAATTAATATAGCATAGCTGACCTACGTCCCTCTCCCTTGCTATTTTTTTCCTAGTTAAAACTTTATCTAGTTGTCATCATGTTGACAATTGGTAGCAAAACACTGAGTCTCGTTTTCTTTATACATCACTTGTATATTTAAGATTTAGTGCACTGGGTTGACAACTTTATAGTTAAAATTATCGCCAGTCATCATCAGCAGGAAGGTGGGGACGGAATCTTGGTCTTTAAAGACTTAATAAAGGAAAACATGAGAAAAAATAATAAAATCCAGGCAGGTAAAGCCTGGTTGACCCTGATGGATACAACTCCACACTTCCTCACAATACGTCAGAAACCAGCAGCTTTCTTGGAAATATAAATGTCTCCCGATCCAAGCGGCTCATTGCTGGTGAATCACTTACTCAGCGTTTGATACTCTTTGATTTTTTCCATGACTTGGCTCTGAGTTAGCCCTTTAGTGGGCAGTTGCTGAGTGTAGCTCATCCCCTCCTTCAGCGTACACAGACTGTGGGACATGTCGTCCAGAGCCTTGTTCAGCTGCTTCTGAATCTGTTGCGTTAAAAAAAGAAAAACAAGCACTTGTTATTGAAATAAAGTTGCTAAAGTCAGCAGAAGTAAAAGTGTGACTAGTTGAACTGAAGTAATCAGCTTATCATGAGTGCATGATGCAAAGTGTGCCGAAGGTCCCATAGTGACAACAATCGGACCACAAAGGAGGAACAGATCTACCACAGAACTTACATTGTCACCAACGAAGGGTATTTTTCTGACGAGTCGAAAGACTTGATTCTTGATTCTGGAAGTGAGACCTGAAACGGAGACACAAAGCAGCAGCTGTGGGTGAAAGTGACAGGAAGCAAACCCAGCTGACTGTGACTAACAATGCATTCAGTTTGATGAAATCATCATTTTATTCTGCTAAAGTGGGAGAACGTTTTAGGGGTATTTTACCTCTACAAGCCTGAACAACAGAAATGCCATTCAGGCTTGTTTCTGCGTTCAGAAACAAGCCTGTTTCTGAACAAGATAAAAAAAGACCTGAAGTAAAATACCTAAACATTTTCATTTTCAGGAATGGAAATATCTTAAAACTAAAAGCTTTCACTAATAGACAATAAACCAATTAATTGCATGTTTAAAACAAGCTCTATAATTTCCATGATTTATTGTCGTTTTCTTTCTACTAAAAATTGGATGATTTAGTTATTTTTTTAATGAAAATTTTAAACTTGTATCTGATTAATTGATTAATCGCCAGAATAATCTATAGAATGATGAATCAATAACCAGAATAATACAAAGGACAATCAGCAACTAGAACATCCTTCACAGCTGGATTTAAATTCAGATTAAATGACTCTCAGGTGGTCTGTGTTCATTAATTAAGTGACTTCTGTAGCCCTGTTGCAATACTTGATGTTGAAAAAACAGTTATTCTAAATAAATCAATTAATCACATGATTAAAACAAGCTCTATAATTTTCTTTTGCAAGATTTATTGTTCTTTCTTTCTTTCCTACAGGTGCTTTCGTCCTTATGTGAAAGCACCTGTCACTAATTGTTTATTTCCAGGTGTGAAATATTACTTTCTCGCTGGAAGAGAAGTCCTTTGAGCCAGAGAACTGCCAGCATGGTGAGGACAGATGCTCCCATGATTTGCCACGGCTCCAGGTGGGAGCAGCGAGAGTTGATCTGCCGCCGGCCTTCCTCTAGGTACAGCAGCAGCATCTCCTTATATACCTCCAAGGCACTCTGAAAGGACAACACACGATTTTGATTCATGGTTAATTAAACTCGGCTCCATTCATTTAACTATTAATGTCAGCTTCGTCCTTCTTTTAGTATTGTAGTTTGGGTGTCATCCAGGAGGGGGCGCAGCTGGTGAGGGGAGCCAGCAGTCGGTAAAAACGAAGATGTCGGTGGCGCCGTAGAGAGTAACGGTCCAGAGTCCGATGTGGGATGAAACCTGAACATTATGTGGTTTTGAAATATAACACTCGACAAGCTCTTTTAGTTTAACATTTATAGCGCTGATTCAGCCGCCAACTTATCAACCAAATATTACTTATGTGCTACAAAGGCCAGAATGATGACAGAAAACGCATTAGAATTATATACACAGGGACGGCTGGTGTAAGTGGGCTAACAGGGCTAAGCCCTCCCTTACATTTACAATAAAGTTGTTAAAATAAACAACTTCAAATTAAATACCTACAAATAAATACATTTTAGATATAATGTATCACATTTGGTTAGATTTTCAACAAACCTGGTCTTTAACCGCCAGGGGAAAATCCCGGGGTGTTTCCGGAAGGCTAACTTCTGATAGCTCCATTCAACGTTACTGTCTGTCAGGCTCAGAATGATTGACAGGCGTCTAGCCACAACCTCTCGGTTTGCGGCTCATTGAGGCTAATTTTGGTTGGTCCAGAGCTAGCGCGCGGCCACAGGATTCATCCAATCAGGATGGACCTGCCTCTAGCTCGAGTGTGTGGGCGTGGCTTGTCGTAGACCAAGTAGGTGCCATGGTGAGCAATATTATAAATAAGGTGGATTTATATATAAACATGACTGAATAAGCACTGTTGATTTTGAGCATTTTATGGAGCAAGCAAAAAATGATTTTTAAATTCAGCATATTAAAAAAAGATTTTGTACCCCATCCTACATCTGTACGAGTGAAGCTGCAATGTCCAAACATAAAACAGTTTAAAACATAATTTAAAAATATGATCATCACTGCATCAAAATTAGAACTAATTACTGCTATTATCAATGCTGCCGTCATTCTTTAATTAAGCTGTCAATGTGGCATATTGAAAAAATTTTAACACATTAGAAATTATTGATGCTTGCCAATAACATGAATCCATTTACCAGTTATTCTAATTAAGAATATGCCATAACCCAGTTCATGTTAATATGCCATAACCCAGTTCATGTTAAAAAATAAGTTCATAGTTCCACCCACTGTTTGGAACATGTAAATATACTTCACAACTGCTCTTCTTTTGCTTCTTTAAATTTATCTTTGTTTATTCTTAGTTTTGTTTACATTCAATTAAATCAAACTAAAAAATTTAACCCTTTATCTTATGGAGAGATCCTCAGCAAGAGAAAACTTTTTAATAAAATGGCCGCTTATTAATTAATCGTTAGCCAGTAAATTAACTTGCATTACAGAAAAGCGGTAAAAGTTTCAGGACTTACTTTTGAAGACATTGTTGGATCTACAGAGAACCTGGGGAGGAAATAACAGATTCTTCCCTCTGCAGGTGAATGTGTTGGGAAAACGCTGAGCTTACTGAGTGACTTCACCCACTCCTCGTTAGGCAACTGGTTGGGAGGAAGTTCACCCAGCTATAAACAGTCTTGCATTTCCTCTGATAAATATAAAGAGCTTTGCTCCATTCAGGTGTGAATTCAGCAGTGAGAGACCATTGAATCAAATTGCACAAGCGGGGTAACATTATCTCCATTATCTCTCAGCAGAGGTGTGTTTACAACCCTGCAGCGGACATTTTGATAGGACAGACTCTCCACATCAGCTGCAATCAGATGGAGAAAGCTTAAGGTTCACAACATGGTATCTTAAGAACTCACTATCTGTGTGACCGCCAATGTTCATCACCTTTTAGTTTTTGTCACCTTGCAATAACAAACTTTATAATATCTCACTGGAGTTTACAAAAGAATGACAATCTGACCATTTTTGTTGGTTTGATGCCATTTTCTGATCTTTCATGTTTTCAGTCACTCTAAGCAGGGAAATTTCCGTAATTAACAGAAATAGAGGCTTGAAAACATCTATAAAAGTCTACAAAATGTGTCTCGCTTAGTGACTAGAGTTACTGAAATAAAGTCAGTTTATTTCAGTAAAGGTTTAAAAAGATAAGTGTATAAAAGAGACACTTTGACAAATTGTTATTTATTTGTTGTAATTTTTTCAACACAACAAATTGAAAACGAGGAAGCCATTGTACAAGTTTTACAGTGAATTAAATGCTTCATCTTTTAACACATCAGCATTAACTCATTATCAGTAGCAGGAGTTTCAACGGGTCCATTTTGAGGAAAGAACCACACAAACTCCATCAAAACGTTTTTTCTCATTAAAATAACTTTTTTCTTGTAATTTTAAGATGTTTTACTGGTAAATTTGCGTCTTTATTCTGCCATTATTGTAACTTTATAATTGTAATTCAGCAAAACATTCTTGAAACAGAAAAAAAAATAATTAAAATGTTATGTTTTATTTTTAAGCCAAATTGCCCAGCCCCCAAATTACAGCAAAATCAATCAATAGATTTATTGACTCGATTTAATGCACTTTATAATCAATATTCAAACACATTCTCTTATAACATTTATACGAGTGAAAAGTTATTTGTTTATTTTATTTTTGTTTACTTGTAGATTAATACCTTTGTTAGTTTTATATTCAATATTTGAATTCAAATTTTAAAATAAAAAACATTTATTAAAATGAAAAGAAAAGAAATCTTGTAAAAAATTTCTCAAAAATTACAAAATAATGAATAAATTAATAAAAGTTGCAAACAATATATCTATAACTCAAACGACTTAATCTGTTTTTCTGATGAAGTATTTTGAAACGCTCTTTCAAATATTTCATAATTTTACTCCACCCATCGAAACGCACATTTGCTTTATAATAGTCTGCACACTTTTACTTTTAAAATCATATTTCCTTCGCTTATTTCTGTCACTTGTTGTTTAGACAAAAAAATCGTTTGTAAATTCATTTCTAGCTTAAAAAAATAACAAAAACTTTTAAAATTAGCCGAGTCCTTTAGTTTCTATTGGATATTCGGTTGATTAAACAGTTTATTTGTGAAGTGAAGTGACAACAACCTGGCTGTAAATCCTGCCTGTTTAGACAGCATCTCCTCTTTCAGGTTTGGCAGGATCCAGTCTAACAGCAGCAAAGAACAGAACAGAACAAACCCAGTTGGGTTTTCAGAACCGACCTCTGGTCTGTTATCGCCACCATCACTAATTATTGACATTTACACGCCAATGACCCTCCAAACCCACTCTGCTGTCTTTGCCTGAGGAAAACTTAAACCCAGTTCACACAAAGGATGTTGGTTTGTATTGTTTCCCTCATTGTTGAGCCGTAAACGCCCATTTCTCTCGGTCCCCCCGTCCCGACAACATCTGACTGATCTGAAATCAGATCTTTTGTTTCCCAGGAGGCTTTGCTCTCATGCAAAAGCGGTTGCTGCTGACAACAAACAAGTCCTCGAACTTTTAGCAAAACATCTGTAAACTTCTACTTATTAACAGAGCTGGGGAGCAACTAGTTACATTTGCTTGACTAAGTTTTTTTTTATTACTTACTTTAATTAGTATTTATATTACACTGTACATTCTACTTGAGTAATTTTATTCTGAAGTACCTCTACTCTTTCCTGAGTACAATTTTTTTTATTTCCTTCCCATTGAATGAAAAACAAATGAGACAGACACAAACCTGCAGTTTTTGTTAAAGTTTCATCAGTTTTGAATTGAAAGAAACTGATTTCAAAACACTGTCTTTTGCCTGATTTTGTTATTTTTTGTTACTTATATAAATTATTGACATTTTTATCCTTAAAATACCAAAATTCCCACTTACCTTTATATTTTGTTCTGACTGATTTTGTATCTTTTAAATATTAAGTGATTGTTAGTTCGATCAGTATATCAGTACAGGAGAAGACTTTTTACCAGCACTTGTTTTACTCTCAAGTAATTTCTAGCTACTTTTAATTGGGTACAATTTTTGGCTTCTCAGCCCTCCTCTACTTACTAAAAGTAACAATAATAAAGTTTTATTTAGGAGAAAAGTGATTAAATCTTTAAAGTGCATCTGGTGTTTGGATTGATGCAGGCTGTAAAATTTGCCCTAACATTGTTATGTTTTTAAAGAAAATCACAGTTCAATATGAACAGCTAACAACAATAACACATTGTTGCAGCTTCCGGCAGGTTCATGCTGGACAGGATCTCCAGTTTTACCCTACAATAAACAACAGCATTGCTCTTTAACCCCTCTTACAGCAGGTTGGTGACTCAAACAGAGGCTACATTTTAAGTTTTATTTAAATTATAGTGAGGACTTACATCATATATGTTAATTTTTATCAACAGCAAAACAATAACGGTGCTAAAATTGTTGTTTAACTCTTGTTCTTCTGGTAAATCGCCCTATTTCTGTTCTTTGTAAGTCCTTAAGGAAAACAGTTAGCTAACTTCTCCACTTAAACAAGTCAGTCCTAAATAAAACGGAGACAAAAGTCAAGAGAAACATACCCAGTAATCCATGTTTCCGAGTTAAGCTGTCGTTTAAATTCTTCCTCTTTGTTCACTTCTCATGTAAAGCCTGACTTTCTGCCCCTCAGCTCACATCTAAATGCTACCGGGAGCCGCAGCGAGCAGAAGCTAACCCTGATTCAGGAAGCAGCTTCTGCGCCGTCTGCGCATGTGTAGATCTGACAATGATGCTGATCGGCCCGATTACATGCAATCCGGGTGTGAGAGTGTTTGTTCCGCATGAGATGCAGATCTGAGTTGTAAACAACGGGAATATTGAATTACACAAAATGTTACGAAAGAGGAAAATAAGAAAAACAGTAAAAGTATTTTAACTGTGATCTGAAAATAAGTTTCATATTTTTTTCTCAAAGTTCAAATAAAATTAATTGCATTTTCTACTAATCCCAAAGGGAAATCAAACGTTGTTACACATAATTTTCATGCTTCTATTTATTTATTTGTTGAATATATTTTATTTTTTTTATTTATATTATGAAACACTTTTGTAATTCTATTATTTTCCTCAAATTAAGCAGTATTAACGCTGATGACAGTGGACAGGAAGGGTTTCCTGTAGAGGTCTGTATTACAGCAGTGCAGGAGAAGCCTCTGACTGAAGACAATCTGTTTTTCTAAGACAGTCTCATAAAGAAGATTCTCAATATTACCCGTAATGTTCTTTATTTTATGAAGAGTAAATTCATAATGTTTCCACCGTATTCCAAAATGGATTTAATTCACTTTTGATGTAAAATTATAAATAAGACAGAATGACATATTGAAAAAAAGTGAGTTGTACATTTTCCTAATTCAAAGAAAATTGCAAAATTTGCCATTATGGAGTATATTATGTATAATTTTATGCCAAAAAATTATTAAATCCATATATAAGTAGCTAAGTATTTTTGCACTCATAACTGAAAAACCTTCAGGATTTCTTCTGAGTCCATCTGCTGTAAATTCCATCGATAAAACGTAATTTTTATGGGATCACATCTCCACTCAACAAGCAATGTGAGATTATTGGATTTCACATTTAGTGTACAAGAGCAGAAATCAAGTAATCAATATCAAAGGAGCTTTGTGTTTTTAATTCCATGGGAAATTTTAAAATATATCTATATTTTAAATCAATGGCTCTATATCGATCCAGAAGGTCAGGTATTGCTATGGACTCCAATATTTAGGACATATCTTTTGACTTCTGCTTAATGGCTAACTTTGCATTTTACACAGAATCCTAAGAAAATATTATGAAGCTAAATTTGCACTATATAACTTAAATAGATATTTCTTTTTTATTTACTATCCATCTTTAACTTGGACAGTTTCTGGCCTATGTACAACAAAAATATCTAAAAGGATATTGCATCTTTAAACGAAGCGCTAGCTAGCTGGCATTGGGGTATTAGCAGCTAGTTAGCGTTAGCCTCAACAGCCTTGACCTACAGAGGAAAATTTAGATGTTTAGATAGAAAAAAGCTTCAAAGACGACATTGAAACTGCAATATGTAACTTTTATAAGAAGTATCTTTTTTCCATATTTGTTGAAATTGTCAACATGTTACAATTTAACACGAGAAAGATAATCTGTGAAAGGATCGATCTCCCCCAGCTCCCCCTGAGCTTTTATTACTAATCTGAACAAAGGCAATCAGAGCTGGAAGGCGGGTCTTAACGCTGCCAATCAAGCTCATGTTCTTTCTGTTAAATGTGCGAATTGCAGAGAAACAACTTACCATTACAGAAAAAACATTTATTCACCCACCACGCTAACTAGCTTTAGCATTCATAACAGGCTATGCTAGCTGCAGCGTTGCAGAGAGCAAGAGTACCACTATTTTTTTAAAAAGGTACATTATACAGTTTTAGTGTTGGCAATGAGTCAAAATATAGAAATATGTTCAAGTGATATTTTTGAATCAGAGCCAAAAATATATTTGAAATTATTATTTAAATAATAATTTCAGAAATATCAAATATTTAAACCCTTTTGTCTGTTTATTTAGCATAAAATTCACTTTTTTCTACCTATTTAACTGGACGCACTAATGAAGGTATGAACTGGCAATCAAAAGCAAATAAAAAGAGATATTCTTCAGCTGTTTGGGGGTGAAAAGAAGCGACTTGCCCCCATTTTGTTTCTTAAATGTCCAAACGGTCCAACAAAAAGACGAACCGTCTC